AACTGAAAAAATTAGTGTTTATTAACGTTTAGCCTCAAAATCGTATTTTTCCCGTGTTACTTGATCAAAAATGACGCGATTTACCGGATCCATGGCAGTCTAGATCGAAAAATAAAAATCGAAATTGAAATGACTTTATTTGTCAAATATTGACAAGTGAGGCGTTGTTGAGTTCAGAATGTCATTCTCGATCGAAATACGTAAAAATATATAGGGTGTCCCGTTTAAAAATCGAAAGTTCGAATCGTTTCCGGTCAAACCGGAAGTACGTCAAAGTAAGTGAATATGTCGAAAAATGTAAATCTATCTATAATGCGCAACCCCCAAATTTCGTTTTTCTATATCTGTACCCCAGAGCCAGACTAGGTCAAGTCCATTTTTGTTATAAATGAGTTTAATGTTAAGCTTACGATAATATTGTGAATTTTCATTTGCTACATGCATATATCATATACAGGGTGACTTTAAAGTTGAGTCATTAATTTTCAGATAATGATTGTAGAAGGAAGATAAACCAAAATGTGCGTAAAAATAAAAAAAAAATTACCTTGTTTTATAAAGTATCCTCCCGACAAGTATTTCAGTGCGGACCTGTATTTGATCGTGAGGTCTTGGAGCACCGCCCTGTGAGGTCTTAAGTCACCTGATTCACGAGCCCGTTGTACTACATTAACAAAGGCACGAGGGGTTGGTTGCACTCGATTGGGAAACCGATCCGCATAAACATGTGCCATTTTTTATTTCGTTTGAGCCACGCAACAGACACCACTATTCACTCACGCGTTGCCGACTGACACTGACTGTATACAACTGAATAAAATAATTGTAAAAACATCGTTCCAAATTCTTTCGCTTTTTTGTTTCCGATGCGATGAACCGATAAGGCGGATTATATCCGTTGTTGCCAAACACGAGCACATATTATTATTGAGACAGGGCGGTACTCAAACTTCCAAAGGGCTATAACCTTGTTACTTTAATTTTACCAGAAAAATGGTAAAGGAAAAAAACATTTCTTTTGATCAGATCTACTCACTGTTAAAATAAATGACATCAATGACTCGAAGTCACCCATAATCTTAAAACTACTTATTTGGACTCAACCTAGTCTGGCTCTGAGGTACATATACTAAGTGACATACAAGTATAAATCCGAACACCTAGTTTAAATGGTTTTATTTTAATAAAAGTTGGTGAATGTATTTATCTTACTGTAAATAACAAGTGAAAAAATGTTCAGCCTTATCAGTTGGACATTCCGGTTTTTATACTGCTTTTTTTTAATTCACTAACGCTCTAAAAATGAATATTTCAGCCGCAGTAAAGAATCAACGTTGGCGGATTTTGGTTCTTGACATCCTTTACGATCGGTTACGATGCCTAGAGTACGGAAACCTGTACGATTTCGTCAACTTACTGAGTTTGATAGGGGCCGTATAATGGGACTTCGGGAAGCTGGACTTTCTTTTCGGGCAATTGCAGTTAGAGTGCAAAGAAGTGTAGACACTGTGGTTAGGTGTTGTCAGGCATGGCTTCGAGAAGGCCGTACGCAAAGAGCAAGGGGCACTGGACGCCGCCGTAGAACAACAGACCGTGAAGATCGCCGCCTAAGATTATTGGCCTTAAGGGACCGTTTCTCCACTACCAGGTCCATTGCAAATGAACGGTTTGCAGAATACGGAAGACCTATTGGCATGCGAAGTGTTTACCGACGAATGAGAAGTTTTGGCTTGTTTTCATACCGGCCACACTGGGTCCTCCCTTTAACTCGAGAACACCGACGTAATCGCCTTGAGTGGTGCAGACAACGGTCACTTTGGGATCAGGAATGGAACAGTATTGTCTTTAGTGACGAGTCTCGATTTTGTTTAGGCATGCACGATGGTCGTGCCAGGATTCGAAGGCGACGTGGTGAAAGGAGGAATCCGCAGTTTTTTGTTGAAAGACATGTTCATCACACTGTTGGAGTTATGGTTTGGGGTGCTATAGCTTATGGTTCCAGGTCACCTTTAATCTTCATCAGAGGTACCATCTTTTACCCTATCTTGACACCCTGGCAGATCCAACTTTCCAACAAGATAATGCCCGACCACATGTTGCAAGAGTCACAATAGACTTCTTTCAACATAATGATGTCACATTGTTACCATGGCCACCAAGATCTCCCGACTTATCCCCAATTGAGCACGTGTGGGATATGATGAGCCACCTTGGTTGGTTATCTTCAAGTAGAATATGTTAATCAACGTAAAAGTGACATTCTCAGTATCTCAGTACACCGCCGGTTAATTGAGACAAGACCACGATTTCGTAACAACCGTTTTTTCCAACTCAATCAGATAGGACGATTGATACTATTTTATTTATTTATTTATTAACATAAAAAAGCACTAAAGCACAAGATCACCTGAATGTTTTCTCAGCGGAACATCCTAATAAATATCGTTTTTGTGCAGCGTGGTTGGATGTCGTAACAGCCAGCAATAAGTATTATCAAACAACTTCAGTTTTACAGTTTTTCTACGCCCGCGCGTTATAGTCCAGGCGACAGAGGCAAGTTATTTACAGGGTGGACGCTTAGTGCCCGGACATTTGAAAACTTGAAGTAAATAATGTGCTAACTGCGGAAAAATCGATTTTTCATTTTATACTTTGCATTTCCTATGTAAAAAGGATTATGTTCGGCCCAAGTTAATCTATTTGGGCTAGCTAGAAACATGCATAACAAAAAATTGAATGGATCAAGTCAGCCAAACCGGCCCATATACAGGGTGTCCCGAAAAAAGTGTGCAATATTCTACCAGCGGTTTCTAAAGCTTAAAATAGGACGAAAAAAGTTTGTATAAACATAGGTCGACAAACGTCCCCTAAGGGCGCTACGGTCTTTTGAAGGGGCTCCCGTGAAGATGGTTTTTCCTTAATATTTCGGCAACGTGTTGAGATAAAGACATAAAATTTGGTTTTTTATGCTGGATTTAAAAATATTAACAGTTTTAGACAGTTTTGTTTGGAAGCGTCTGTAGCAGGGACGGACTCAGGTTATTTTAGCCCCAAAATTTTCACCTTTTTTTTTTCCCCATTGGATTTCTATTTTGGGGGTCATTAAAAGACCTAGTTTACTCGACTGGAGTACATACTCAAGAAGATTTACTTCAAAGAATCCATCAGGCTGCAAATGAAATAAGAAGAAAAATGTTTTCCACTTTTCGGGCTACGCAATCATTAGTTCGTCGAGCGAGACTATGTATCCAACAAAATGGGAATTTATTTGAACACTTATTGTAAAGCTAGTTTTAAGTATATCCAACTGTATGTCTTCTTTTTTAAACAAATTTAAATTTCGTTCGTAGAAAAAAATGTTTTCGTTTGTTTTTGCCTAAATGTTAGCTATGTTGCAATACAAATATGTATTTATGTAATATTTACCAATTATTAAATTAGATTTTTCGTTGCCATGGATAATTATTCAAGAATTCATTTAAATTCGCAGTACATTTCCTATCATGTGACAAATTTTTTAGTTTGGTTTTACGCAAAAGTGGCACAATTTATCGATATTCAATAAGCGTACCTTTTTTATGTAAATTTTCAAATTCTAAAATTGAATTTCAAAAATAGAATCACACAAAAGTTTTGGGGCTAAAATAACCTGAGTCCGTTCCTGTTACATACGCTTCCAAACAAAACTGTCTAAAATTATTAATATTTTTAAATCCAGCATAAAAAACTAGGCTGGAATACCAAATTTTAAGTCTTTATATCAACACGTTGCGGAAATATTAAGGAAAAACCATCCTCAGGGGAGCCCCTTTAAAAGACCGTAGCGCCCTTAGGGGACGTTTGTCGACCTATGTTTATATAAACTTTTCTTCCTATTATAAGCTCTAAAAACCGCTGGTAGAATATTGCACACTTTTTTCGGGACACCCTGTATAATTAGCCCCCAGCCATTTGATAACGTTTAACTTGTTTGTTGTTGATTTACAGTGAAACTTGTGCTGACTAGAAATTTACCATTTGATTTAATTCATCGAATAAAATTCAGTTTTTTGAAGCAAATACAGATTTTTTTTATCAAACAAATCTTTGTCGAGAATCTTCGTGCATCGAGAAACCAAAGAAACCCTAATAACTACTGATCGATTCCTGTCATAGTACAGAAAACTGGAAATTTACTCATGTCCAACCAATCTCAAAAAAAGTTTCTTTGCAGGGTGCTTCGATGAAAAAATCTCATTACTCTTGAATTTGGATGTGAATCAATCTCCTAGACTACGAGTTTTCCGGCAATTTGTGTCCGCCCGCGAGTTTCCGTCGCCTGCCATCCGTCGTCGCGTTCTCGATAAACTTGGAATCCTAAGCACCTGTTACTCAATTATTCTATCAGAATGACAGCGCGTTTTAGTGTCGCGCGAACGGAACGGATTACAGCTCTTTTCGAACGGAATGTTAATGTCCCTTTCTGCTTACCACGACGCACGAAATTACTGAACGTACAAATACCTCGCGCGCGTGTACGACCGATGATATCGTTGCATGCGTTATGTTTCGGTAAAACGTGCCCCCTTACCGAGATTCGGGGTGTTGAAATTAAGATTTCGAAATAAAAAGTGGACCGTATAACGAACCGGATCGGTAACTCCGATCGCTTTCTAGCTGCGTCACACTGTCTCGTAGCCACACACCACGGTACCACCGTGCAAGGAGTATGTTTAGTAAACAACAGCAAGATAAGAAAAATGAGCATCGGTGGGATCCGAACCCGCGCCTCCTCGGGTCCGACGAGCCGACATAATGTGACAAATTAACCTAACAATTTATCACGCGGTCTTTAAGATAACAAAAGTAATACAAAAGCGTGTTTTTTTGTTTTTTTAAATATTATTTATTTTTCAATTTTTACGTCCTTGATACGTGCGCGAAGTTTCAAATTAATAAAACTTATGGAAATTGGTCGAAAGCGTCTTTAAAAAAAATAGAAAAAAAGGTATATCATAATCTGCCTCCTGTGAGGATTGAACTCTCGACCGTGGGTTACAAGACCAGTGTTTTACCACTTGAGCTACAGAGGCTTGTAATTTCAATATTCGTGAAGCGGCATTTGAAATCCGTGGTTTTTTATTAACATATCTGCTTTTTACGAAAATTTTCCGAAATCAGCAAAATGTTATGCCCCGATTCAAAAAAATTACATTTTTGGACGAAAAAACGTTACTGTCAGTAATACCAGTTATAGCTTTAATGTAATCCAACAAACAATAATTTTTCGGTACCTATACCTATAGATATGTTGAACAATGAAATTAAAATCTACATAATAAAAGCTCTCTTGAAAGCAAAACAGGTAGGTATATTCAAATGATGATTCACATGTTTAGCATTTCGCAAGAATCTAATGTGATTTTGATAAAATACCCACTTCCTGTCATTATTTGCTCATTGTATGTTTAGGTACCTATTAGCTGGAAATAGATTTTAGCTCAATTAGAGATTTGGAAAGATACCTACTGTACCTAGCAAATCAAGATATAAAAATAAAATGTACAAAAACATTTATGAAAGTAATCGTCTAAGCCGCCAAATACGAAATAGAATACAATATTCAATCACTGCCACCAACAGCAAAATTATTTCAATACCTATGGGCCTTAGGCCCGTATCGTCAGTCGTCCCTACAATTGTAGGGCGCGTTTATGGCCTCCTTGATTGTCATAATCTTTTCCCTCCTTCAAAAATTTCTAGATTACACTCGTCCCGTGACAGCGTCAGCGCTCTCCTATTGTTAATATATGTTTTCCTTTTAAATTGTAGGAAATTTCAGGCTGATAAAACATGATATAACTCAAAAGCAAGCACAATTTGATGTAAATAGATGTTTGTGACATAACCTCAAAATAGAGCTCTGACACGGAGAAGTAGAAAACTATGACAATCAAGGAGGCCATAAACGCGCCCTACAATTGTAGGGACGACTGACGATACGGGCCTAAATGTGTATTTAAAAAATTCTAAACGATCGAACTATCAATCACCACAACAACCTAGAGTTGCGAGACGGACTATTTTACATTCTTCGGCAATAAACCTTCAACGAAAGAGACGAAAAACTAAAGAATGTATCTTTTTTGGGCATAAAAACCCCAGTATCCACTGGTCCACCTGTCAGCGATTTTCAATTGTTTCCGCCATACAGACTATCGTTCACTTTTACACTTTCCCGGTTTTCAACAAAATTTGGTCAGCATGTACGAGTAAAATCGCAACTCAGCGCAAAGAAACGCAGGTGCGCGTTCAATCGCCGTCTATTCTGAACCAAACTATCAACACCTACATCGTATAATAACACAGCGAGAGGTTACCATTCCATCTATCTTTCGTACCTTTGGTATCAGGATATCCATTTTTAGTGCACATTTTGTCACTGAGCGTCTGAAATCCACACTTCTGCAGCTACATCGTCCGGTTTAGCGTTCGCAAAAGTCACTCGGATCACACACGGTCTTACACGGATGAAAAAAGTATAAAAAACGCGAGTGACGAAGAGCGACACACTCTAAAACCGCGACCAAGCTGACTGAAGATTTTAAAAGTTAGCCGGCCTCCGATGCAATGCTCGCGCGACGTTGTCATGTTTCCGAAGCGATTTTACGGTGCATTTACATTCCAAAGTGCAGCGCTGACGCGCAGTCAAGACACGAGCATCTCGTATGGACAAAATTGGTAGTTTTTTGGTTCCGGCGTAAAGAATGAACATCAAAATGTTTGCCAATTTTACCGTTTTGGATGCACAGGCCTCAAACATCATTCGAAATACGGAATTGGATTTTCTTAAATGCCAATCGCGTATCTTTCAAAGAAATTTTCACCCGGTACAAAAAATAATTATATTTTATATTGGGATCTGGCTTTTTTCAAAGTAGAATATACTTCAAAAATACATGCTTTATATAAAGTCTAATATATAAAAGAAAAGATGTTTTAAAACAAGCTTTCATTTAGCTCTTAATAAAACGGACAAAAATTTCAAAAAAAGTATTTTTTATCGAATGGGGACAATATTTAAACGAAAATGTAGCTCCTTAATCTCAACCGAGTGAACATGATGACGCCAAAATCACGTCATTATTCTGTCACTTTTGGTCGGAAACGTCATTGACTAAAAAATAACGTCTTTATCGACGCTATTTTTTTGACATGTCATTTTAACGTCACTATATTCATTGGGGAGTCATCAAATGGAATCGGAAAAAATTAAATTCGTTCAATTACCAAAATTTTATTTGTTTGTAAAAAAGTATTGTTTCCTTTCATTTCTTCTTGATGTGTCAAATAACTATGTAGTTTGATAATTTCTATATAATTTAATAATAAGCTGTATGAAACTTCTTACTTTACTTGTATCATAACATTTTGAGTAATATAAATCGCACAATGATAAGTCAATCTTTTGCCGCGACAGCCACTTTCTAATATCTGCTTTTATTTTCCACGACTTGACAACGCTGCGCGGTGCTTGGTAGCGCTGTCGTAGCGCGATTGCCGCGGTGACGTCGGGCGGCGATCCGCTGCCGGTCGCAGCCGCCTTGATAACGCCGTGTTATGAATCATTTCGATGGTCGCATGTGATTCTTGGGAGGTTCATCGCATCCCGACAGGCAGAAACATCGCCCGAAACTCCATATCCATATCCTTGCGTCCTATGATTATGCATGCTGCATACACCGGATGTTGTTACTGAGCAGTTCGTGTTTTGCTGCCTTTCGCCTACAATATTCAATATCGCACCGGCGGATGATTGAATTCTTATCCATTGTCTTTTTAATATCCGAGTTTTGAGGCAGATGGGTGTACGTGGAAGAAAAGAAAATGCCTACATTTTTGGATTCTTTTTTATTCTTGGTTAAGTGACAAATAATATTGTATTGTCATAAAAAGTTGAAAAGCATTTTTTTCGAAAACCTTGTGGATATATGAAAAAATTTTGATGGCTACCAGGAGGGGACAGGACAGCAGTGCTGCAAGGGACAGGATGCGTGGCCAAAAAGAAATCCAGCAGGCTACTGGCGCGTGACGAAACAATATTGAATTTTTCATTTCCAAATATATCTCAAGCAATATACGAGTATATCTGGAAGCTTACCAGACCGACCACCCTTTATGATCCTCTAACAGTACAATACTGATCTGATAATAGACCAATAACTTATATGCAAACAGTTCTTTCAAATCGCCTTCTATCTGCACAGGTATTCATAAGATATTCAATAGGCACTCACAAGCCAACAATTCGTATAAAATAAACATTTCCATCATAAATTCCCCATGAAGTACTTCCTGTTATTGAGTTATTGTCACGTATTGTGCACCACAATGCACACAAAACGCCATCAAACGTTTTTTCGTATTCAACAATCGTCATTTCATGATTTCAAACCTACGTCGTAACCTGCTATATTTCATTCGTTTATCAGTCCTACAACAAGAAAGCATGTTGATTATTGGTTGAATGTTCATTCGTAGTCTAGTACTAGAGATATTAGAGCGATTATACAGTTCGAGTATTACCACGAGTTTGATATTTGCGTCGTTAGGTTTTCTTTTTGAATTGTAGGAAATATCAGGCTGATAAAATAGACGATGAAAGTCAAAAGCATGAACAATTTGTTCCAAATAGATATTTGTAACATAACCTCAAAACAGAGCGCCATTTTTAAGTACAGGAAAAACTACAGTCGAAATCACGAAAGATGACGATTACGTCATCATTTTAGTCTGTAGTAAAGACAAACGAAGCGATTTGTGAATATGTATAATGAAGTTTCTGATATGTTAGACAGAGACAAACAGAATTTTATTGTCTAAACAAACTGTATTGCTAATTTGCATGTATCCGACAAAGATAGACGACGTTTTCATGTTGCTTGATCGATCATATTTGAAAGATGAATAGTTAGGTTATGTTAAAGCAGGTTAGGTTGTTTTCGAATAATACTTTGGTCTTTGGTGTTAATGTCTTGAGGTGTATTCTACTCATAACTTTTTTTCAAAACAAAAACTCCCCATTAGAATTATTATTAAGGTAGGTATCACTTTAAACCATCAAATAAAAATAATCAACTTCGCAAAATCATAATATAAATTAATGATATCGTGATTTTATCATCGACGAACGTCCATTGATTACTTCTTGGCTCCATCTGCAGCTAGTTATAGCCTCTTTTCAGAAGCGGTACACACTACGCACGATTTTTCTGAGCAAGCATAGAAAGGACGATTATATCTCGTGGTAAACGTTGTTAGTTCACCCCGTACGTATCAAAACAAATGGTTTTATGACGTTGTTTTATGAGTTTGTTGGGTCTCGGCTGGCGCATATGCTGCTACCGTAAAGCGAGAGCCTGTAATGTAAGTTCGAGGAAGAACGGATGTGACGTCAAAGCTGCAACGTTATTTTAGGGGAGTGCTCTGCTGTAGGATGCAACTCGCCCAAATGGCAATAAACGTGTCTGGACTGTCTGGTCGCCGACGACATTTGGATTTTCTAGTCAATGGTTTCTATATTATACAAATTCTTTTTGACAAATGAAATATACAGTGATCATATCTTGGAAATATACGGCACAAGACAGAGACGGGGCTAAGGCCCGTATCGTCAGTCGTCCCTACAATTGTAGGGCGCCTTTATGGCCTCCTTGATTGTCATCGTTTTCTACTTCTCCGTGTCAGAACTCTATTTTGAGGTTATGTCACAAACATCTATTCGCATCAAATTGTGCTTGCCTTTGAGTTATATCGTGTTTTATCAGCCTGAAATTTCCTACAATTTAAAAAGAAAACATATCTTCACAATAGGAGAGCGCTGACGCGGACACGGGACAAGTGTAATCTAGAAATTTTTGAAGGAGAGAAAGAAGTATGACAATCAAGGAGGCCATAAGCGCGTCCTACAATTGTAGGGACGACTGACTATACGGGCCTAAATTAATGGCAGTTGGGTTAACACTAGTCCACGACCTGGCTGGACGGTCCATATCTTAGATCGGGTACAAAAGTTTTTACTGGAGAGTACTTATTACAGTAGTGGTATGTGGTTCGCGAACGAACTAGTTCAATCGAACGAGTCTTATGACTTAACTAAGTCAGGTAGTTCATCATTCATTGAAAAACCCGTTCACTATAAGCGGTTGGTATTACAGGATCTCTATGATCCAATCGAACTAGTTGTGAGTGTACGAACGAATATGAGAGCGGGGAAAGGAGACGGAACCGTAAGCAGACAGTTGTATAACTGGTGCTTGGCAGTTATAAAAAGGATGATAATTGCTGTTAGTTAGCTAACTTTTATCGACACTCACTTTCAACATTTTCGACATTTCCGATATTTTCAGCATTTTCAACGTTTTCAAGTATTCCGACATTTTCACCATTTTCAACATTTTTCACATTTCCAACATTTGCCAATGTTATCAACGTTTTCAACATTTTCAAATTTTTCTACATTTTCAACATTTAAGACACTGGTCGTTTTCAACATTTTTAATATAATCAAAATTTTCAACGTTTTCAACATTTTCGACATTTTCAACGTAATTCAACATTTTCAACATTTTTAAGAATCTCAACATTTTCGATACTAATCATTTTCAACATTTTTAATATTTCCAACATTTTTAACATCTCCAACATTTTTAATATCATCAACATTTTCAACAAATTCACCATTTTCAAAATTTTCAACATTTCTAACATTTACAACGTTATCAACATTTTTATTATTTTCAACATTTCCAACAATCTCAACATTTTCCACATTTCCAACATTTTCAACATTTTCGACACTAATCATTTTCAACATTTTTAATATACCTGTATTCAACATTTTCAACGATTTCAACATTTTCAACATATTCAACATTTCAGTATTTTCAACATTTTTACCATTTTCAAAATATATTCGACTCTATCGACATCGGCATTTTCGAAATTTTCACCATTTTTCACATTTCCAACATTTGCCAATGTTATCAACGTTTTCAACATTTTCAACGTTTTCCATATTTTCAACATTTTCGACACTGGTCGTTTTCAACATTTTTAATATAATCAAAATTTTCAACGTTTTCTACGTTTTCAACATTTTCGACATTTTCAACGTAATTCAACATTTTCAACATTTTTAAGAATCTCAACATTTTCGATACTAATCATTTTCAACATTTTTAATATTTTCAACATTTTTAACATCTCCAACATTTTTAATATCATCAACATTTTCAACAAATTCACCATTTTCAAAATTTTCAACATTTCTAACATTTACAACGTTATCAACATTTTTATTATTTTCAACATTTCCAACAATCTCAACATTTTCCACATTTCCAACATTTTCAACATTTTCGACACTAATCATTTTCAACATTTTTAATATACCTGTATTCAACATTTTCAACGATTTCAACATTTTCAACATATTCAACATTTTCAGTATTTTCAACATTTTTACCATTTTTAACATTTTTATAATTTTCAACATTTTCAACATTTACAACATTTTCAAAATATTCGACTCTATCGACATCGGCATTTTCGAAATTTTCGACATCGGCATTTTCGACATTTTCAACGTTTTCAACATTTTCGACATTTTAAACATCGACATTCTGGACAATTTCGACATTATCCACATTGTCACACAATCAAACGTATTTTCATGTCTAAAAATAATTAAACATAACTACACGAAATGAGACCTTGTTTACGGAAATACGAAAAAGCCCTCATTTTCCACGATTTTTTGCGATAATCCAGATTTTTTACTGAAAAAGACACACGAGTGACGTAAATTTGGGTTGCCTGTAATTATGTTTACCGCATTCTCTACATTGGTTTTTGTGCGTATAAAGAGATACACTCTGGTAGATCACCTTTATTACTTCACCGGACAAGCAATAAGAAAAAGCTCGTCTGTTTTTAACAATTAGATATTAAAATTGAATTTTTCGTGATTTCAATAGCATTTGCGTTTGGTTGTAACGAATTAAGCATCGTCTCATGCCTATATCACTTTTCTACAGCAACAGATTGTTCTTCTAGATAATAAGAAGCTGATTACGCCATATAAAAGCAGATCTCGCTTTACAGAGAAAACATGCCATACTTATTAAAAGTGTAATGCACTGAAAGAAGACAACCCTGAATATACCAGTAGACAAATAAAAAGAGCTGAGCAACTATCGCATTGATAGGGATGGGATATGCGTCGATGTTCAGACAAATATCCATTATTCTGTACGATAAAAAAGTGAGGATGAGGGGTTAAAGAGAAAGGGGAAGAATATATTTTTGGCGTTACTATATTACTTCCATTATGTAGCTTTGCAGAAGAGTGGCTCCTTTGTCGCTAACGAAGTTTCATAACAGCCGGGTGTCCCGACTTTTAGGCTTCTGTGTAAAAAGAATCTGCCTCGCTCTACGTCGATACGCCCGGAACGAATTGCTACTTGAATGTAGAGATCCAGATCCAGAGAAACGAATGAACGCCGATGTATTGATTCGTAGGCAAAACAGTAAGGACCTCCACAATTTGGACGACAAACAATGCAATGTAAGTATATCGGCTTAGCTCCTAATTCATTCGAGTTCCTTGGGATACCGAATATTTCGTTACTCCACATCCCATCTCTACCGAAACCAATACACTGCAGCGGCAATCGTGGGAAGTTACGTCTCCTACTTCCATATAAGTACTACTTGGTACTACGGTGCGCACATTGCACCAGCCGCATCTGTATTTGTAAAAGCACCATGCGGACAGATACGAGCAGTTTCATTGCCTCTCATACCAATCCATTACATTGTATGCAATTAAAACGATTATTCTTCGGATTTGGTCCGTACGCGTATTCAAATTGTATCCATTATACCAAAACAGGACTATGAAATTTGAGAGTATGCAATCCAATAAAGGTTGATTAACAATAATAAACGTATTTATTCGCCAAACAACAGAACAAATAAAACTTACAATTTAAAAATAGGTGTTTCGTGAAGGGCAAAGTTCAGCTGTACACAAGGGCGTACCAAGCTTAAAACAGAAGGGGGGCACCTTCAAAAAAATGTTTAAGTAGAAATCAAATCATATCTACATAACTATGCTTGGTATTTTTCTTTCTTATCTTCCACGACGATTGGCAGAGTGATTGCCAAGGAAAAAATGTGTATTTTTGACGAAAAGTGCGTAAGAGTAAATATGAAATATTTAAAGTTACTGGCAGTGATTAACATCGAACATTTCTTCAACAATGCTCAAGCTAGTCTATTAGTATCTGATTGGGCAATATCTCCATTATTATAAGACATAATTAAAAATTTTATTCACAAAAATCGGAATATACCGCTCCCTACAGGGTAATTCATACCGACATGACAACAAAAACGATTTTTTTAGTATATTTTAGTATATTGTAATATACCACTTCAACTGGAGAAGTTTTGATATAGCTGGGGATATATAGCATATTACAAGAGTCGTCTGAAAAATAAGGTTCCCACATTTTTTTCAGCCACAAGAAATTTTTTATTTGAAACGAATTTGTCTTTGAAACGATGACCTTGTAGCTATTTTTCTACATAGTCGCCTTTGTTACACGCATTTTTTTAGACGTGCAATCACTTTTTCACTCTCGCCTCGATGGAGGAGCAGCCGACAAACACGGTGTTGGGAATTAAAAAATTTTGGTGATCCTGAAAGTATTGAGAATCTTGTAAAATGAGAATTTTGAAAAACATTTGAAACTCATTTAAATATCTTTACCTCGAAAATTTTTAAAACTGAATATTTTTAAAATTATGGAAATTTCAATTTTGAAATTATAAATATTTAGTACATCATGAAAATTATAATTGAAAAAAATTGAAAATTCTAAAAATTTCAAATTTGAAAATTATGAAAAATAGAAAGTTTTCATTTTGGAAATTTTTAAATATTTTGAAAATTCCGAATCATTTTTATTCAAAATTTTAAATATTAAAAATTTTGGAAATGTTGAACCTAAGTTTTGAGAATTTTGATAATGACCTAAACTTTGAAAATCTTGTGAAATGAGAATTTTAGATTCTGAAAATTTTGAAAATCAATTCTTAATACCTTGCAAACTTTTAAAACTGAATACAGCAGACGCTCGATAATGTAAACTAATTTAATCCAAGTGTGGTTCACATTATCGAAATGTTTACATTAGCGAACGTGATTTATATAATATTTGATTTATTAAAAGAAACGTTTAATACATACTATTTATAACAAAATAAACAAATATTCTAACAGCGATAAGTATTTTTTTAATTAGAAGAAAAATAATTAACAATTTTTGTCTGCGTAAATTTGCGCTTAGCATTGTCTTCCAATGCCTGCGCCCGTATTTTACGAAGAACTAAAATATCCGTGTATGAAACTTCTTTTCTTTCAGCCCAATCTAAAGCTTGGTTAAAAACTTGTATAGCTTGCGCGTCAGTCACTACACTTCTGACTTCAATGGGATCGTTCTCATCATCCTCACTGTCCATATCCTCCTCGTTATCAGCATCATTCGTCTGCTTATCTTCGTTGCATAAATTAATATCAGAAGGAGTACAAACAATGTTGAGATTCACTGTTTTCAATAAATCAACAACATCCAATGACACACTAATAACATTATCATTATTGGATCGCAAACGTTCTCTAATTACGCTTAAGGGGACATCGTCTTCTTCATCATCTTCATTATTGGTACAAAAGAGATTGTTCCAACATTTTTGAATAGTTTGCTGGTTAAGTTCATTCCAGGTCATATGTTTATATTACAGGGAATTTTCCATTTTAGGTGCGCTGTTTCCGTGCGCCGAGAGTTGTTTACGTTATCGAGCGTACACATTGTTTACGTTATCGCGCGTTCCGTTTGATCCTATAGAACGAAGTTTGTGTTTACATTAGCGCAAGTTTTCATTATCCCGTGTTTACGTTATCGAGCGTCTGCTGTATTTTGAAAATTGTGAAAGTATTAAACTGTAGGTTCAGCTAATTCGGGACGCTACATTTGAATCATCATCTTAGAAAAACCTTAAAGGATCATGTGCCGGACTAGGGGTGAACAATTGAAACAAGAGTGATTTTTTAAGATTTTTTATTAACCGTTTTTTTTTAAAGAAATAAATCAGCCTTGCTAAAAAAATGCACACAATAAACATCATCTCTTTACACAGCATTGATAATATACTAACATAAATTAAAATTCTTATCATCATAACCGATATCTCTAATGTTTTTAACTTCAGGTAGCTTGTCTTTGCATTTGTGGAAATTAAGGACTGCTTCGTGTGAAAATGGTGTGCCGCAATGTTTGCAGTTCCAGACTTTCTTTCTAGGCTCTCGAAATTTCTTCAAACACTGTTTTACGTGGCCCTTAATATCGGGATGGAATTTGAAGCAACCCTCGCAAAGGTTTTCCAGCCTCTTGAATCTAAAATACAAATGCATGTTTTATAGAAATTATTGAGATACGGGTGATCACTACATCTTTTTATACGATCGATAATTCAATATTTTCAAGATTTTAAATGATTGGTAAATTATGATTATTATTATGATTATGTTAAAACTTTTAGTTTTGAAAATTATGGAAAGTTTGGAAAACTAGAAAATTTTAATTCTGACAATTTTGAAGATTCTGAAAAATGCAAAAATAACAATTTCAAAATTTTGTATATCGACAATTTTAAAAAAAAAAATTCTAATATTTTGAGAATCCTATAAAATGCGAATTTTGAAAATTCTGAAAAATTTGAAACTCATAAATTCTTGATACCTCGAAAATTTTTGACACTGAATATTTTGAAAATTACGAAAAACTAAATATTTTGTAAATTATAAAAATTATAATTGAGAAAAGAATTGTAAATTCTGGGAATTTTAAATTTGAAAATGATGAAAATCTAGAAAATTTAGTTTTGAAAATTTTGATAATTTTAATTTAAAAATTTTGATACATTTTGATGTAAAAATTTTGGATATTAAAAATTTTGAGAATTTTGATGAACCCGATAGTTTTGAGAATCTTATTATAACCTAAATTTAAAAAATCTAGTAAAAAGAGAATTTTGGAGATTCTGGAAATTTTTAAAACTGAAATTATGAAAATTTCAATTATGAAGATTTTGAATATTTTGGTTTTGGAAATTTTAAATAACTTGTACATTATGAAAATCTTGAAAATTTCAATTTCAAAATTTTAAATATTGAAAATTTTTGTAATCCTGAAAGTTTCGAAAATATAAATTTAAAAATTTTGAGTATTAAAAATTTTGGCGATCCTGGGAATTTTGAGAATGTTGAGGATCTTGTAAAATGAAAATTTTCACAATTCTGTAAATTTTGAAACTCATGCAAATTTTTGATCTCTAAAATTTTAATTTTGAAAATTTTAAATAATTTATAAATTATAAACCTATAATTGAAAAAAGAATATTCTAGAAACTTTAAATTCGAAAATGATGAAAATCTAGAAAATTTAGTTTTGAAAATTTTGATAATTTTAATTTAAAAATTTTGATAATTTTGATCTCATAATTTTGGATATTAAAAATTTTGGGAATTTTGATGAACTCGATAGTTTTGAGAATTTCATTATAACCTAAATTTAAAAAATCGAGTAAAAAGAGAATTTTGGAGATTCTGAAAATTTTTAAAACTGAAATTATGAAAATTTCAATTATGAAGATTTTGAATATTTTGGAAATTTCAGTTTTGAAAATTTTAAATAACTTGTAAATTATGAAAATCTTGATAATTTTAATTTTGAAAATTTCAATTTCAAAATTTTAAATATCGAAAACTTTGGTAATCCTGAAAGTTTGGAAAATATAAATTTAAAAATTTTGAGTAATCAAAAGTTTGGTGATCCTGGGAATTTTGAGAATGTTGAGGATCTTGTAAAATGAAAATTTTCACAATTCTGTAAATTTTGAAACTCATGCAAATTTTTGATATCTTTAAAATTTTAATTTTGATGATTTTAAATAATTTATAAATTATAAACCTATAATTGAAAAAAGGATATTCTAAAAACTTTAAATTCGAAAATGATGAAAATCCAGAAAATTTAGTTTTGAAAATTTTGATAATTTTAATTTAAAAATTTTGATAATTTTGATCTCATAATTTTGGATATTAAAAATTTTGGGAATTTTGATGAACTCGATAGTTTTGAGAATTTCATTATAACCTAAATTTAAAAAATCGAGTGAAAAAAGAATTTTGGAGATTCTGAAAATTTTTAAAACTGAAATTATTAAAATTTCAATTATAAGATTTTGAATATTTTAGAAATTTCAGTTTTGGAAATTTTAAATAACTTGTAAATTATGAAAATCTTGATAATTTTAATTTTGAAAATTTCAATTTAAAAATTTTAAATATTGAAAATTTTGGTAATCCTGAAAGTTTCGAAAATATAAATTTAAAAATTTTGAGTATTCAAAATTTTGGTGATCCTGGGAATTTTGAGAATATTGAGGATCTTGTAAAATGAAAATTTTCACAATTCTGTGAATTTTAAAACTCATTCTTGATATCTTTAAAAATTTTAATTTTGAAGTTTTTAAATATTTTGTAAACTATAAAAGGTATACCTAATTGAAAAAAGAATATTCTAAAAACTTTAAATTCGAAAATGATGATAATCTAGAAAATTTCAATTTTTAAAATTTTTAAAATTGATAATTTAGAAAAAAGACTTGAAGATTCTAAAAATTTTAGTTTTGAAACTTTTTAAAATCCAGAAAATATTAGTTTGTAAAATATAGACGATTTTTAAATTTTGATTTCAAAATTTTGAATATTGGAAATTTTGGTAGTCCTGAAAATCTCGAAAATTCCAATTTTATAATAATTGTGAATTTTGAAAATTTTGGTGATCTTAAAAGTTTCGAGAATTTTGAAAATTAAGGTATTTTTGAAATTTTGAGGATTTTATCAAATGAAAATTTTGATTTTGCATATTTTAAATTAAGAAAAAATAAAATTGAAAAAAGAATTGGGAATTCTCAACATTTTGAATCCGAAAATGATTGAAGATTTGAAAATTTTGAATATGTTGAAATTTTGAAAACATTCATTTCATGAAAATTCTGGATATATAAAAATTTTGATGGTCCTGAAAGTTTTGAGAATCTCGAAGTATTTTGAAATTTTGAGGTTCTTGAAATACGCTTATTGGACGTTGTGTATTTAACATAGTTGCAGTGTGACCTTGAGCGCATGAAATGAAAAATACTCACTCCATGACCTCTATCAATCTTGCCGTCTTTCTTAACTGCTCCTTTTCCGGCCATCCATCTTTGCCGGCGACCAAATCCAACAGTTTCTCCTCTACTGCTGCTGTAACTGGGTCTTGTGGCACCGACCTGATATTGCTTACTGCTTTTGAGCACCAGCCGCTTCCGCTACTTGTAGCTAGCCGATTTAAAAAAAAAGATGCAAATTATAAAGACGGATACACATTTCTGTCCAGTCCATAGTAGATTACCAATTAATGCAGTTTATAGAAGAAAACAAAATGTTTGTTGAAACACAACCAGCAATATTCCACTGAAATGGCTTTTCAGTTGGTTACTGAGAATTGCAGAAGAAACAGAGACTCAGAAGGAGTTGTCGTAGCAGTATTTTTGGATTTGCAGCCATAAATGTTAAATAAATATTTCTACTTTTTCTACAATAACAAAGTCTGTTGCTGCTTCCTCTACCTCAATTTGTCTACTAAAACGGGCCAGGTCAAAAAACGATAAAATGTCAACTTGTTGACTAAGTAGGCTAGTGTGCAATCCAAGTTCCAAGTTGACTTCTCGTAGGAAGATCTACATAATGTCATAAAACTTAGGTAATGTCAAAAAAACCAACAAAATGTCAAAAAACGACATATATGTATACCCCTACTGAGCTCTCAATATCAATAACATTTGAAAGTAATACTAACCACCTGCCGAGGATGACGGACCGATGTTCGGTGGGTTGCCAACGTTCTTCTTGGATTTTTTTCCAGAAACCGTTTTTTTAACGGCACCTATGCTTGCTTGCCGTTGATCGATATTTCTTTCCGCCCCGTGAGACTCTGTTTGACTAGAGGTTTCCCGAGTACCAATTTCCTTTTGTGTCTGCGATGTCTAAGGAAAACAAAAGTTCGTCATTTGCGGAAAAAACACATCGGGCGACACATTTATCGTAGAAATGAGATTATCGAAGTTCACAATAAGGGGATGTTAAGTGTAAAGCGGTTTAATATCAGAAAAACACAAGCTGCGGATGTGATTAAACATAAAGAGATCCTTCTAAAGAAACGGATGTCGAACCACAACGAAAATTGATTGATTCTGATGTCGATGAGGTTTCAGGTACCATCAGAAGTTATTCCAAATTATGGTAAAGCTGTTACCGTGACCAAGCAGCTAAAAAGTTTTGTCGAAAATCAGGAAAGTAGGTACTTGGCAACCTCAAAAATAATATTTTCCAACCGAAAAATCGAAAATTCACGTCTTAGGCTTTTTCAGACATCAAAGGTCCCCATACCAAAAAGTTAAAATTGGGAGTAAAAAAACCGTGGTTAACCAAAGGATTGAAAATATCGAAATTGGAAATCCTTATACTATATCAAGAAATTTATAAAAAAATTAAAGTTTTAATAACTACAGTATGACGTATCATAGAATATAAAAGTTTTGGCTGTAACAAAAAAGAATTATTATGAAAGAAAACAATAAGTGCGTAAGTCGTAAATAAATTAAGAGACAAACTCCCTACTTCCATCTATAAATCCTGATTGAGCGACGGAAGTGTTACATCCAGAAAAAAGAATTTTTCCAACTAGATTTTTTGGCAATGAGGTAGTCATCTTAACACTAGTAAATGAAAGGGCAATAACTAAAAATATCTGTACTGTTCAGCTCTCAGAAACTGCTTTCTTCACAAAAATTTTAAATAAAGGTAAACAAAGATAAAACGTTGACATTTTTGCAACAGCATCCTTTAAATATAGTCAATGTGTTGCGAAAAAAAAGTTGGAAAAATTATTTTTTTCTGGGTGTAATACTCATAATATCTTTGAATATATAATGGCTCACCCGTATATGTATGTGTCTCCCTTAAAGATATTCCACCGTGAACTTTTTAAAACGTAAACCACCTTGTACGAGATCTGAAGTTCACCTACTTAAGATCCACATATATAATTACTTTATAAGTCATAGCTTAACAATCTATCTACCATCAGAACAAGCGTTACTTAAAATCGAAATTACCTTCTCGCTGTCTTTTTGCGCCTGTTTCTGTACAGGTCGTACGTACTGAGATATCACCGGAGACATAACTGAATCTGAACCCTTTTCCGGCGTCTCGTTCCCTTTCGTTTTAATCAGTCTCGATGATTTTCTTTGAGACGTGACATCCAACTCCTCGTCCGAACTGCTTTCGATGACAACAACCGATACCTTTTCCGGCACTATCATCACACTGTTCTGTGATTGCGAGGCTTGCCCGCGACTACCTGCGGCTGCTGAAAACGAGGAACATTTGGAAATTCAGAATTAACGATTAATCTAACACAACAGTCGAGCAGCGCCGAAAGCAGAGGAAAAGTTCAGCTCTAGTTAAGGATCATAAGAATAAGAAATACCATCTTGCATACTAGGTAGTTTTTAGTGTGCAAAAAGTTCGCTCGCTATGATCGCTGAGAGTGACATCTATGGAGGAATGGCTCAACTACCCGACACGCTCAAGCATGCATTGTCGGTTGCAGAAACCCGAATAGTGTTTATCTGTGAGATCTGAAAGAAAGTTGGTTGAGTAGCAAGATCGCATCCGGATGATTAGTGATATTTGATATGTAATAAAGGACTGACGATATGGCTCTAAGTGTCTGTTAATATAACTACACTTTGCAACTATTGCTAGCAATTTAATTCAACAAAAGGTCATAATAAACTTACTTGTTTCATTTTCCTGAAATGATCTTGATGTGTTCTGTAAGAGGAAAATCACTAATTTAGACGGATGAATTCAGTTTTAGAACAGAAAAACAGGTCCTAAAATGTTACCAACAGACAGATTGTAAATTTTATACACCACCGCACTGATCAGGCTGAATAAGAAGAAAACACGAACATTGTCCAAATGCAAGTTTCAATGCAAAATTTCGCTAACCTCAACGTAGAACAGGTTGAAGTTTTTGTTCCGGATTTTGCCAGAAATATGCAAACAAGTTTTCTTCCATAAGGAACAGGCAAACATCTCTCAAAGGAGGAGGCTCGTGTCAAATTGAACACCTTAAAAAAACAGTGGCATAAATCGATGTACTTTTTTTAGGTAAGGGTCAACATCTCCCTATTTCTACGCCACTGGTGGCGCAAACAAAATTATAAGTCAATATTTTTTGTCTATTTCAATAGTATAAACTGTGGGACCCATGTTATTTTGAACTATACATATTATTTTATCCAATTCATGCCCTACAAATATTTTCAAATACCATGCATAGGCTCAGTATGGCATTATTATTATAAAATTCCTTCATACACACCATTGTTTCTTTGGGCAAAGTTTCAGCGTCGTCAGGTGTAAAGAATAGCTCTGGAGTTACCTAGAAGATGAAACATTTCCATTGTGGTTTCACAGTCATAATTTATTATTTTTATAAAATCAACTGGAGAAGAGAAGTCGTTGACCAGGAGCTTCGCAAGCAGGTTATAAAAACAACAAAAGCAGTTGAAACACTCAGAATAAGAATATAGTAAATTAATTCTGCCATATGTTGATGAAGATGATACAAAGTCAAAACTAGATTTTTAAGGAAACCGCAATTCGCAGTTTCTTCACAAAAATAAAACCTAAGAACAAAGACCAGCAACGCCAAGGATTGTTACCATTTTAGTTCTGTAGAAAAAGTGATCTAGTAAATCATGTCCAGTAAAGGTCAATTTCTTTATCCTTTTGTGGTTGATCGTGTGGCTTTAACGATAAACTTTTTGTATAAGTTTTTTATTTTTGAGTCAAAATTTAGTTTCTCAACGACTGAAACTAAAAATCTGAAATCATCCAAACTTACAACAAGGTCAAACATACCCAGAAACCATAAAATAAAGAACGTTTCCAAGGCTGTGAAACGAGAAAGCAAAAATTACCACAAGAAATTTGCACACGCACTAAAAGAAGAAATATTGATAAATTTTTATTTCGAAATAACAGGGCATCGTTATTGTGTATTACAAACTGTTACGTGAAATATAAGTCGCAGCGTCAACGAGAGAAAAAAGAACAAAATGAAACCAAAAAGAAAACTAAGATAAAAAAGGTAAACACATAACATATAAGGATTTTACATTCCAAAATATTATTGAACTAAAAAAATCAGAAAAAACGCATTTTTCCTTACATCAAAGAAAATAAATTTAACATATGATACATCATTAGATACAGGGTGTACTTTTTTCATAGTACAAAATAAAGTAGACGATGGTTTCTAAAAAGCGACAAGTCGGGCACAAAATTTAATTGATATTTCCTAAGTCAGAAAAATCTCAACGACATGTAAATACGCCCCAAAGAACGCAGCTTTTTCCTGATTTGTAATACAAGCTACACTTACATCACCATCTCCACTCGTCATACTCGTTTGTGAATTAGGTTCATCGGTGTCGTCGTCTAACACATCGGAAGACTTTTCTAAGCTCTTAGCGATCTTTTCTATGTAACTTTTGATGCGATTATTCATTTTTAAGACAATCGCGGCTTCTTGCAATTGTGGTACCATGTCCGGAGGTATCGCTACTTCCCTACCGTAGGCAAGCTCGATCAGAACCTGCATGGTTGATACAGTATAGGGAACGTGGAGCACTACTTTGCGATCGTTTGCTGAAAAATAATATATTTAATGTCACGATTTAGTTATTCTTTAAATTATTGATTAAGTAATAATAATAATAAATGTCTTTATTAAGACGCACACACCAGTGCGGTGAAGTTTAATTAACAGTAAGATCGATACACAAAACAGAAAAAAAAACATCTTTAAAGTCTCGTACTTCACGACCTGTTCCATTCCATTCGAACAGAGCAACGATGAACGTTGTTCGCCCTAGTCAGTGGTCGCCTTATTTCCAGGTTTGGTGATGTTCGTTGGCCTCCTTGGTCTCCAGATTTATCAATCTACGATTTTTTCCTATGGGGACACCTCAAGGCTCGAGTATACGAGCACACGCTCCGGACTCTGGACGAGCTAAAGGAGGCATTTCGCGTGGAAGTCGCTCAAGTCGAGAGAACGATGTTGGTCGATGAAAAACGGTGACCACACGACAGATGTGATTTTCCACCGTTGCTTGTGACAAACGCTATGTTCTTGTGAAGCGGAATCCGTCAATAAATTTGTTTTTGAGTAAAAATTACCGATTTTGTCATTTTTTAAAAACCGTCCGACCTTTGTGCCGGACCCTGTAGTACAGCTCTAAAATTCAACGTGAATATTCCACTTTTATGGAAGAAATAAATGGGTGATTTACTTGTTTTCTCATCACAAAAATCTTTGCTTTCCTTGAAACGTCATTTTGCAGCAAGAGAAAGAAAACAAGTTATGAGAATAAAGGTAATACGTACAATTTCAGACCTGGAACTAATATTTGACAACAAGTTACGACTGAAGAAAGAATTGACAAAGAAAATTGATAACATATCATCTCTATACAGTGAAAAAATCTCTATAATCTGTAATTTCAGTGATTTAACTACCTGATATTTTGTCGAGAATCTCCTGGGAAGCACAACCCAAAACAAGTCGATGTACTTCAAGTGTAGATGTACCGTCTATATCAGGCGCGCATATAAGGGTCAAATTAGTCAATTTCTTCTCTTTATAGGCGGTATATAAATCATCGCAGTAACAAATTTTGCCCATGCTGAAAGCTAACGTGTAAGCATTATCCCTATGGAAATAATCTGATTTATCTATAAGTAGCTTAAGCCTGGGGCCCCACCGAGGAAGAAAAGTATCTAAAAAGTTATTCTTGAGAATGACATTCGGGTTGAAGAAAGACTTCCAATACAGTGAAATATGGATAGAGTTAATTTAGAATATTTTTTTTACTGCAGGGTATTATATCATTGTTGCTTCTATACATGATTTCATTGATAACATTGACTATATAGAAAATTGTTGTAATTAAATGTATCGTGCTTGTTTAGGATTAGCTAGTGTACTTCTCTACGCCTTGACTTATGAATAACTAAGAAATTATCTATCTATACATATACGTTTTAAATGTCCCAGTTTCTTTAAAATATGCAATATTCATTAAAACGCGATTTTTGTACTGCCAAAAATTCAACTACCCAAATTTTGGAGCTACTACCTGATACATACTTTTAAAAAATTAATGTAGTCCAAAACAAAAAGGATAAATTAGGATTTAATTTCACCGTATTTTCAACGTACAATGGTTTGGAGTTGTTTGCAACAATTTTACCTCAAACATTCATATCCATCTTTCTTCTTGCTTAATAAAAATTCTTACATACCTTTTATGGAACGCAACTATCGTCAACCATAAAGATTACATTATATCATAATTTTACTTTCGAAAATGCAGGCTGGAGCAGAACTGAAAGCTGGAATACGGAGGCCACATGAAAACTGCGAAAAACGTTTAAAAACTTGCAGAAGAACCAAAACAAATCTGTAGAATGGCGCGAAAAGAGGTTAGAATCCAATGCTGAATAGTGATGTGTAGTTCGCAAACGTACTAATTCAGTTGAACAGAACTAGTCATCATTCGTTGAAAAACTCCCTTCCCTGAACAACTAGTTCTGAGTGAATGAACGAAAACGATATAGGAGACGGAACACAACCATAAGCAGAATGTTATCTTTACTCGGGCCAAATAATCTTCTTTTTGGCAATGATGAGAGCATACTTTCCTAAATTCTGTAACTAGGTTCGGTTCCTTAGTAGTGCTACTTGTGACATCTGTTGAGGAAAAGTGGTAATAACTGCTGTTTGCTGCAGTTTCTTTCATTGGGAAAATAAATTATAAAGCTTTTAGTTAGTTTTCTTTACTTAATTAATCTTAATTTCAAAAACAGTTCCTAGATGTCACCATACGTTGTTATCAGATTCACTTTTCTCGATACGAAACGAGACGACTGTTGTCTTTTTCATCAGTATCGTTATAGTAAAATGACAGTTGATTATTTAGTGTGAAACCGCTCCCACATGATGTGGCGAATGTCTTACAACGTTGGACACATGGCCATTCGCCACATCGTGTGAGAGAGAGCTGACGGATTGCGTGTGTCCAACGTTCGTCACATGGCACGATAGGGCTCTTGTCCGTAAATTTGACCCGTGTCAAAGGACGTTACAACGTTGGAAGCATGGTTCGTTCGCTCCCACACGAGATGTCATGTGTTTGATGGTTTTCGGTTAGAACCAGTAGCGGTAGCCGATATGAGGAATTTTGAGATATTACTAGATAATCAGCTGACGTTCTCACTTTTCTCGATACGAAACGAGACGACTGTTTTTCCATCCATATCATTATAGTACAATGACAGTTGATTATTTAGTGTGAAACCACTCCCACACGATGTGGCGAATGTCTTACAACGTTGGACACATGGCCATTCGCCACATCCTGTGAGTGAGAGCTGACGGATTGCGTGTGTCCAACGTTCGCCACATGGCACGATCGGGCTCTTCGTAAGACATTTTTGGGACAATTTTGGCACATTATAAAAAGAAAAATGCCGACATAAAGAAAAATTACATTTATTTTATATATAAATTAAGTACATTAAAAAATTTACAAACAAGTAAAAGAGCGTCTAAAAATAGACAATTTTAACGAATGATAAACATTTTCACATAAAACATCAAAATAATCTTTAGTTTTTTTCCAATGTATATACAAATCAATCCAAGTACAGTAAAGCAAAATATAAAATATATCTCGCTATAGGTACAATATTTCTATCTAAGAGTATAAAAAGAGTCATATATACATTGCATTTCACTCCTAGGACAAGCAATGTAGCAAATAGTAAAAACCAAATCACGGGTAAAGTAATATCGATACAAATATGTAATTAAAAATTATTTCACTTATTTAGATCCCTAAAATTAAAAAAATGCATTTTTAATACATTCTGAGTACTAACGCTCGTCTCACAATGGTCGGTGATGTCCCTTGAACAAAAAAAAAAATACATTTCAATATTATTTTGTTGTAATATCTGTTTTTTATAGCCAAATTTCAAAAGTATAAAACTGGAATTTGACGTCAGATAAACCCATGAAATCCTTCCTGGATTTCTTTACGTAATTTGAACTTGTTATGGTTCTAAGCTGGACGTCAATTCAAGCATAGAACTTCGATAGAATCACAGAATAGTTTTGATGAGATTCCCCTCAAAATCAGAACCATAATACGTATAAAAACTCAAAATAATTGTAGCAAGAAATCACTGTGGTTGGCAGCACTGAGTAAGCATAAGAATTTTGGTGAGAATATGGAAAAAATATATGACAACATAATAGGGAATATAAAAACTTGTTTAGATCTTGCAACTGATAAAAAAGTGATTTGCTCGACAAAAAATACACCCTGGTATAACAAGAATATTAAGGCAGCTCAAAATTTGAGAGACAAACAATACAATAAATGTATATTCACAAAATCAAATGATGATTGGGAGGTGTATAAAACTCTTAGGAATAAATGTGTATATGTAATTAGAGAAGAAAAAAGGAAATTCTACGATAAACAAATCGATAATAACAAGTGCGACAGTGTAAAGATGTGGAAGACTGTAAAAAGACTGATCAATTCGAAGCCGCATGATTGTGTAAATCAAGTTCAATTCGAAAACGGTACCGAAACAAATTCTTTGGTGATTGCAAACAAACTAAATGAATATTTTGTGGAAAGTATTGTTGATATTGTGGGTACTGCCAATGCTGCACCTGACTATATGAAAATCAGTTTCCAGGGGGAAAAATTTCACAGCGTATCATTGAATTATCTAAGAAAAAAGTAAGCAGTTTAAAATCAAATAACAACTGTGCCGAAATCACTACTAAAACGTGCTGAAAAACTGTTTCGAAATTTTGGGATATCCGGTATTAAATTGGATCAATTGTTCACTGAGAAGCAGTTCTTTTCCTGAAGATTTGAAATGCTCTACAATAACACCAGTTCCCAAAATAAAAAATTCTAAAAGATGCAGCGATATGAGACCAGTAAATGTGTTACCAGATATTGAAAAATTATTAGAGTCCATAGTGCATGACCAATTAATGCAGTTTATAGAAGAAAACAAAATTTTAGAGGAGGCTTTCGAAAAAAATATTCCACAGAAACGGCTTTCCAGTTGGTAACTGAGAATTGGAGAAGAGCCATAGACTCGGAAGAAGTTGTCATAGCAGTATTTTTGGATTTGAAGAGGGCATTTGAAACGATTGATAGAGATATCTTGTTAGGTAAATTGAAGGCATATGGTATAACAGGAAGTGTTTTAGATTGGTTTAGAAATTATTTATCTAAAAGGATGCCAGTTACTAAAGTTAATGACACTATTTCATCAAAAATTGAAAATACGTTGGGAGTTCCACAGGGCAGTATCCTGGGACCACTTCTTTTTATTTTATACATAAATGATTTAGGCCATAGTCAAAAAATGCAAAATTCAGATTTTCGCCGATGACACTATGATTTATATAAGTACTAAAAATATTCAGTCTGGTATCTCTTATATAAATGAAGACTTGAAACTTGTCTCAAAATGGTTAGCCTCTAACAGACTAAATTTAAATGCAAGTAAAACGAAAGCCTTGTTAATCGGAAAAAAACAATGTACAAATGTTCAACTGAATATTGATGGTGAAGATATTGAATTCGTAGAAAATTTTAAATACCTGGGTTTTTGTTGACTCTCGATTAATTTTTGATATTCATTATGAAAAAGTTATAAATAAGATTAGTAGTAAAGTGGGATATTTATCGAGAGTTTCTGGATGTCTGAGTTCATATAGCAGAAACATTATTTATAATACCATCATTCTTCCAAATTTCTTGTACTGTTCGACTATTCTATATTTAGCAAATAATTCCATTTTTGAAAGACTGCAAATTTTACAAAATAAGTGCATGAGAATAATACTAAATAAAGATAAATATACTCCAATCAAGCAAATGCTTAGCAAATTAAAATGGCTCAATGTAAAAAATTTTATCAAATATCTTGTAATGTTATTCATTTATAAAGTAAAAAATAATATATTTCCATCAAGTCTAACTAATTTAACATCATCAAATGTCGACCATCATTTACATAATACCAGAAATAAAGATGACTTCCATTTAACGACCAAAAAGTATAACATATGCTACAAATCTGTATTCCATCAAGGGTTGATTGAATATAATAAATTATACTCAGAGATAAAAGACCAGAAAACTTTGTCAACATTTAAAGTAAAATTGAGAAATCACTTGTTAAATCTACAATTATAGATTGCCCAGCATTTACATCATACACCATATGGCTTGAATTTACTAGTTCTAAGTTGTTTACAATTATTCTGTTTATGTAGCCAAATGTGCTAAATAAATCTTTCGACTACTACTACATAAGGATCTTTTATCTGAAAAAACGAATTCACCATTGGAAGCTGTTTTTCTCCATTGTCGCATCTTTTTAGACGTGAAACCCGCTTTTACGCTCCCGCTTTTTGTTCGATGTTGCCAGATTTCGCCTAGCATCACGCGCGACAAAGATGCGAATATTATTTTTTAAACACAACAACCCAAGCACAAGTGTACACTTTTTTGGTTATATGTATTATGTTTATTGGACATTATTTCTGCGAAAACTTTGTAATTGGACCAATAAACCTTATTACTATTATTATTAACAAGCCTCGTGTGTCATAAATCTAGAACAAGCACGCGCGCGCTTCCGCCAATCTGAAAAAAAAATCAGTTTTTACCTTCATTCGACCGTGACACTTTTGGCCAGATTCCTAGGACAGTCAACGTTACAACCTTTCAACACGGCGATGTGGAATGATAGCAGTTGCATCGGAATCACAGTCAGAACGCCTTGGAGGCAGTCGACCGTCTTAGGGACCTGCAGCGATTTGTGGCCGAACGCCATCGTTTCTTGGTCGCCCTCCTGGCAGATTATGATCGGTTTGCCATCTCGCGCCGTCACCTGCAAGACAAGCCGTTCAGTTTGCAATCAACGCCGGAAACACTCATTCATATTCCCCAAATCAGTGAAAAGAAAACAATGTCGTTTAGAAAATACCAAAGTATGCCACAGCAACGAGTCTTTGGCCGTAAAAGATTCCTGTGGCTCCGCGGCCTCCTTATTCGCCGGACTCGAGTCCCTGTGACTTTTTCGGTACAGTCGAAAACATTCAAACCAGCAGCGCTACGACGGGTGGAAGAACGGTCTCCGGCGCTGTGTGGCTTCAGAAGGAAGTTATTTTAAGGGGGACAGTACAAAATTAAATAAAAAAGGCAAAAATCGTTACAACATTTGGTAAAAGCAACTATACTGACCTGCTGTAGAGCATTCATGCATTTGGTATACACGGGATCTTTCATGATAATCATCATAACAGGCATAGACTCGTCAATCAGAGCTAACGGTCCATGTTTCAGTTCGCCGGCCATTATTCCTTCGCTGTGCATATATGTCAATTCTTTTACTTTCTGAAAAAAAAAGCAATGCAGATATTTTTATAGTACGCATATTGGCTGCATTTTTTTTTTCTAAACCTGCCAAAGTAATGCATTTTAGTCGTAACTAAACGGTTGTCCAATAGGGACGCAGGAAAGTAAACGTCAATTTGACATAGACGCCATCTTTGTTTTCTGTCACCGACATGTCGTTTTGTTAGTTGAATGTTTACCATCAATCGCTATGGAGTCGTATTCGATTGAAGACCGCATTAAAGTTATTCAAGAGCACTACAAAAATGGTACAAAAATAAAAAACACGTTTCGCGCGCTTCGTGAACATTTCGGTCGCAACAACCGCCCAAACGAAACAACCGTCGGTCGTCTGGTGCGTAAATTCGAGGCAACAGGTTCTGCGGCAAATCTGCCAGGCTCTGGCCGGCCAAGGAGCGTTCGCACACCGGAAAATATTGCCGTTGTGAAGGAGAGTGTGAGAGACGATCCGAAACAATCAACAACGCGTCGATCCCAAGAATTGGGCATTTCGAGAACCAGTTTGCTCCGCATTCTCCACAAGGATTTGAATGTACACGCCTACAAGATCCAATTGACGCAAGAGCTGCGTCAGGCCGACCATTTTTCGCGCCGAACGTTCTCAGTTTTTCTCCTTGAACACCGCCAAATTGATGCCAATTTTTCATTAAAAATCATGTTCAGCGACGACGCGCATTTCACTTTGAATGGGACGGTGAACAAGCAAAACTGCCGCATCTGGGCGAACGAAAATCCCCGTGAGTATCAAGAGCAGCCGATGCATCCTCAAAAAGTGACTGTGTGGTGTGCATTGTGGTCAAAAGGCATCATCGGACCTTACTTTTTCGAAAATGCGGCCGGGGACGCCGTTACCGTCAATTCTGAGCGATATCACGTGATGATAGAGGACTATTTGTTGCCGCAACTTGAAGGAATGGATATGGACGATCTTTATTTCCAACAAGACTACAGCCCGATTTTACTATCCAGGGTGCAAAATTCGCGTATCCCTCAAATATTAACCTCTTCAAACATTTTTCTGAAAGTGATCAGTAAACGAAGTTTGAGTGATTTTTATTTCGGTCATCTATGGCCTTTTTCTTCGCCGCCACTGGACCGATTTTCAAAAGCTTCAAAGCTTTTTCGTCCTTGCCTTAGTAGTAACCTTGTTTGAAAATTTCATCAAAATCGAACCGGTGCTTCCCAAGTTATAGAGAGGACAATTATTAGCTAACAAACGGACAGATTAACGGAAATGAGTGACACGGTTCATAACCCAAACAATATAGCACAAACTTGTTTTAACGCAACTTTTCTGTCATGAGAACTGTAGTTCGTAGTCCGCGTAATCGTAACATACACGGTGAAAAATTATTTTTGACATTTGACGTTAAACTTGACGCAACTTTTGAAGGCTTCACGACTGTCAGCTGTCACTCTCGTTCAGCGGTATCCTTTTTGTGTGTTTTTCAGAAATCCCGTGAGCTTATTTTTGAGTAATCCGTTTGCTAAACGAATTAACGAATTTTATTCGAGAAAGTAAAATAAAAAGTCATTCTTTTACTAAAAGTGTGTTTTGGATATTTTCTCACTACAAAACTATAAGGATGTAGGCTGAAATGTACAACTCACCAAGGCTCCTTCGAGACAGGTGGCAAAGTTGAAACCCCTGCCCATAATCAGCAACGATTTTTTCTTGTATAGATCCTCGGCTAACGTTCTCACTTCGTTGTCCAATTTTAAAACCTCGCGAATCTGGCTTTGCAAATTTTTCAAGCCTTCAATGATCTGGAATAAAAACACAACTGAAAATGACACTAACTCTACTTGCATATATCAACGATCTCACTCATAAACTTGCCAAAATATGGAAATCTATTTTAACAATCAACAACGTTTTCTCTACAATGAAGGACAAAGTTCCACTGCTTAGTTCAACTGACTGCAAAATTTCAAAAATAGAACCTTCTACATTAACTAACCTCCTCTCTTCTCTGTTTCATCGACAGCCTGTCCTCGCTCATGACCAACGCGAACATGACCAGCGAAATAAACTGGCTGGTGTACGCTTTCGTCGAGGCCACGCCTATTTCCGGGCCCGCGTTGATGTGGACGCCGCAATGCGATTCCCGACAGATGGAACTACCTACAGTATTCGTGATGCCCACAATCAGAGCCCCGCGCTGTTTGCAATAACGGAGTGCCATCAAAGTATCGGCCGTTTCACCTGGAAAAAATGCCGAAAGACGACGGGTAAGTTTGACGTTTCTTTATCTGAATTTTGTTTTTCTTTCAGGGTTATTACGTATAGTATCGACAAAATGTCAATTTGCTGATAAAGGATAATTTCGTTGTGCTTTCATTCGTTGATGCATAGCTTTGTGAGGTTCTATCAGCAATTATACTATCGTTTATAAATTTTATGGTACGAAAAGTCTGACTGCGTACATACATGCAAAAACGTAGTAGTTCGACCGATCAGAGTACTTTTAGCAATACAGCAGACGCTCGATAACGTAAACACGGGATAATGAAAACGCTAATGTAAACACAAACTTCGTTCTATAGGATCAAACGGAACGCGCGATAACGTGAACAATGTGTACGCTCGATAACGTAAACAACTCTCGGCGCACGGAAACAGCGCGGCGGTAAAATGCTGAAGCCTCGATGATTTATGTCGGGCGTCGGGGAGTCCCCGATTTATGATGTAGAGTGTAGGGGATTCACCTCTGCGATAAAATACGACAAACTCGGTCAGTCGTATGATCGTTTAGGATACGTTTATACGTACGTATGTATTTCATTTTTGAACTTAAGCGAATACATTGCACGCGTTAATATATTTTACGACTATGGCATCCACATCCTATAAAAGAAAGTGTTTAAAGTTGAGTGAGAAAGTGAAAATCATAGACGAAGTTGCACTAGGTGCGGGAGTGACACAGTTAGCAAAAATATATGGAGTATCGAAAGCAACAATCTGTAAAATTAAGCGTATGAAAATTCAAATTTTACAAAGAACGTGCAATACATTTGGAGGTCCGGGAAAAAGAAAAACTTTAAAAAATGCGAAGGCACCTAAAATGGAAAATTCCCTGTATAAGTGGTTTTTAAAACAACGGGAAAATCATGTCCCAGTTAGTGGCGAAGTACTTAAACAGAGAGCGAGACTGTTAAATGAAAAACTGAAAGAAACTGAAAATTTCGTAGCTAGTGATGGCTGGCTACAATGATTCAAAACAAGATATGGAATTCGACTGCTGTCTATATCTGGTGAAAAATTATCAGCACAACCACAATTAGTACAACCATTCAAAGAAAAATTGATGAAAACAATTACCGAGCTAGATTTAAGAATGGAACAAATTTACAACGCAGATTAAAGTGGCCTTTATTTTAAAATGTTACCAGAGGAAACCTATGCTGCATCATTTGAAAAATCTGCCCCGGGAAGAAAGCCGGAGAAACAACGAATAACGTTTCTAGCCTGCACTAATGCTAATGGTTCGCACAAAATAAAGCCACTGGTAATTGGGAAAGCAAAAAATCCGCGCTCATTTAAAAATGTTAATATCCCTGTTGATTATGACTGTTCAAAAACCGCTTGGATGACTAGCAGTATATTCCTGAAATAGTTCCACAGGTGCTTTGTCCCTCAGGTATGACAATCAATTATCACAAATGCTCTATTCATAATTTGAAGATGTGTTTTCAATTTGTAGGTAAAAGGTTTCCTAAAACAACAGAAACTTCCAATAAAAGCGTTGTTGGTATTGGATAATGCACCAAGTCATCCTCCCGAGCAACAACTGAGGAGCAGGGTTGGGTCAATTTTCGTCATGTACATGCCGCCCAACGTAACACCGTTAGTTCAACCGATGGACCAGAATATAATAAGACTCACCAAACTATACTATAGGAAGTTTCGACTTTCGTCTGTCTTATCAAAGAATCCTGAAAACTTATCTGAGGCTTTAAAAAAAAGTAACATTACGAGAAGCTGTTTTAGATTTACATATGGCCTGGAATGAACTTAACCAGCAAACTATTCAAAAATGTTGGAACAATCTCTTTTGTACCAATAATGAAGATGATGAAGAAGACGATGTCCCCTTAAGCGTAATTAGAGAACGTTTGCGATCCAATAATGATAATGTTATTGGATGTTGTTGATTTATTGAAAACAGTGAATCCCAACATTGTTTGTACTCCTGCTGATATTAATTTATGGAACGAAGATAAACAGACGAATGATGCTGATAAGGAGGAGGATATGGACAGTGAGGATGATGAGAACGATCCCATTGAAGTCAGAAGTGTAGTGACTGACGCGCAAGCTATACAAGTTTTTAACCAAGCTTTAGATTGGGCTGAAAGAAAAGAAGTTTCATACACGGATATTTTAGTTCTTCGTAAATTACCGGCGCAGGTATTGGAAGACAATGCTAAGCACAAATTTACGCAGACAAAAATTGTTAATTATTTTTCTTCTAATTAAAAAAATACTTATCGCTGTTAGAATATTTGTTTATTTTGTTATAAATAGTATGTATTAAACGTTTCTTTTAATAAATCAAATATTATATAAATCACGTTCGCTAATGTAAACATTCCGATAATGTGAACCACACTTGGATTAAATTAGTTTACATTATCGAGCGTCTGCTGTATTTGAAACTAACTGCCAGAATTCCATCACTCTGCATATCGTGGTCCATAAACAACACTGACAAACAAATGAAAAAGGATCTAACATCTCACTCATAAAAACAAACATGGGACTTGCAATGGCAAAATTATGTCAAAACTCCCTAGTTCGACTGGACTATGGAATGTTATGGCGCAGACTCGAGGGCGGGCAGCTTGACTCTGATTGGTCTATTTAAACGGCATGACATAACAGCATCCGCGTAAGGGCGTGTATGGGCACCTGGATCCCAGTTTTCTTTAGCACGCGTAGCAGGAAGGTAAAGGAGATAATTATCTTCTCTTTCAGGCACATACTTGAGACTGATTGCAACTGTTGCTGAAAATTATTCCAGTCTCACCTGATTGAGAAATGAAGAAGCACACGTCATCTCTGAACACCGGAGTTGTGCGATCTAAGAAATCGCTAGCCAATTCGACCATGACAGGCAGCTCGGTCAGTTCTTCTAGCAACTGCCTGGTAGCAATCGCGCTATGGTAACTGGTTCCGCAACCGATAAGCATAAGTCTTCTGCATCGTTTTATCTCCGGAATGTAGTCTTTTATGCCGCCCAATGTCACAGACTGAAACAGATATATCGCAATTCAGCGCTGCAGAAAATCACGATTTTCGTTTACGGTTTTTCCTTATTTTCGAATTGTAAACGTACTTTGGTTTCGAAATTGACGCGTCCCCTCATCGTGTTGACGACAGAATCGGGCTGTTCGAAAATCTCCTTCTGCATGAAGTAATCGTAGCTGCCTTTCATGATCTGTTGCAATTCCATTTTTAGCGTGTGAATTTCTCTCTTGTGCGGATCATCGCCGCCTCGTCGTAGCCTGTGGATGCTAAGTCGGCCATTTTTAACGGCAGCCACGTCGTCATCCTGAAAAATCACGAAATAGTTCTAGAACAACACTGTACCTCAGAACCAGACTAGGTCCAAGTAAGTAGTTTTGAGATAATTGTATTTGAAATATTTCTCTTGCATTGTATTGAATATGACTTGATATGAGTTAAATAGTCGTAACTTCCTTGTTATTACAGATAGATGGACTCTGCATGTAGCAAATGAAAATTCACAATGTTATCATAAGCTTAACATATTAAACTCATGGACTTGACCTAGTCTGGCTCTGAGGTACAGAACTGGAATGTATAATCTTCTATATCTATAATTTGTTTATCGACAAATGTTATATCTTATGGACATCGGAATTGCGACAAAATTATCAACATTCGCCATTAACAAATCACTGGGCAACAAATTTTAGTTTTTTAATTGTATCTTGTGGGAAAAGTGCACTTCTTTGTTAATTTTGGGGCGCTGAATCCAAAAATGACAATGAGATAAAAAAATTAGTTGCGGTTTAGAAAAAAACTTTTTATTTTTAAGGATATATTATATTAAAAAGTAACAAGATCCATATACTTATAAGAATCACTATATGCGCTGTCTTTTTGCTGTTCTTTTATGGATCGTTTCTGGAACGTCTCTACCAAGAGTCCAACAGTAGTCTGCAAGCATGGAAGGATTCCACTTTCCCTGGTACCTTTTTTCCATTGTTGAAATATCCCGATGAAAACGTTCGCCGTGCTCATCACTTACGGCTCCGCAATTGTCAGGAAAAAAGTCCAGGTGTGAGTGTAGGAAATGTATCTTAAGAGACATATTACAGCCCATCTTTTGATACGATGACAGCATATTTTTGACAAGGGTTTTATAGTTGTCAGCTTTTCTATTTCCCAAGAAATTAGTGACCACCAGACGGAAATCATTCCAAGCAGTTTTTTCAATACCTGTTAAAGTGTTTTCAAACTGTGTATCTTTCAAAATATTTCGAATCTGTGGCCCGACAAAAATACCTTCTTTAACCTTTGCCTCACTTAGTCTTGGAAATTTCTGACGCAGGTATTGAAAAGCTGACCCATCTCTATCTAATGCCTTGACAAAGTTTTTCATTAGGCCCAACTTGATACGCAGTGGTGGTAATAAATTTTTTTTCGAATCTACTAATGGCATATGCTGTACATTTTTTTGACCTGGCTCTAGGAATTGACGAACAGGCCAGTTTTGTCTGGTGTAATGAAGTGCCTTTGCCCGACTGTCCCATTCACACAAAAAACAGCAAAACTTGTGTAGCCTAGCTGCAGCCCAAGTAAAAGTGCAACAACTTTCAAATCGCCACAAATATGCCATTGGTGCTCATCGTATTTTATGCATGTCAATAGGTACTTCATATTGTCATATGATTCTTTCATGTGAACTGCATACCCTACAGGAAGAGATGGTAAAATATTTCCAATATGCAATAACACTGCCTTTAAACTCAATGTTGAACTGTCTATAAACAATCTCCATTCTTCTGGGTTATAGTTTATATTTAAAGCCGCCAATAAGCCGTTAATGTTACTGCAGAAAACCATATTGAAAAATGGTTCTAAGTCTTTGTGGCGTTTACGAAAAACACATTCCGAAACATCGTCTTCTAACAAGTTCCACTGCTGCAGTCTTGATCCAAGTAACTCCGCCTTACATTTTGGAAGTTCTAAATCTCTTACAAGATCATTTAATTCTGACTGTGTTATTTTGTGCGGTTGGTGGCATGACGTGCTCGGTATAAAATCAGGATCTCTTGACGTTGATGGCATATCTTCTTCCTGACGAATCACTCGATCGCCATGATCCGATTCGTTTTCTGAATCGCAAGTGCAGGATTCAGGGGGTTTTGGAATAGGATTTTCGTCTCTGTGAGGCACGGGTCTCATCGCAGATGGTATGTTTGGGTAGTTAATAACCGATTTTTTTTTCTTGGGCATACCTGTGGCTTGTCCAACACAAGGTACCATGCAAAAGTAACGATCATTAATACGATTTGTAGGCTCTCTCCAAACCATTGGGACAGCAAAGCGCATAGACCGTTTTTTGCCATTTAACCAGCTCCTCAGACTTGAAGCACATGTATTACAGCAGATGTGAGGTGCCCACTGTTTGTCTTGATCACCTAGTTTACAACCGAAATAAAGCTGATATGCCTTTGTTATTAGTGGAGTAATAGACCGTCTCTGAGACGCAAAAGTCACATCACCACACACGTAACAAAACTGATCTGGATTGTTTACACACTTTCGAGACATCTTGCATGAACGCTGTCAGCCAACCGAGGAAAAAATGGCTAATATAAAACAATATAATGTACACGTATGTATAACGTAACACAATCATGCCGATTACATCATCTTTCCTTGCCGAATATAAAAATGTAGCACGTGCATTCTTGTGAATTACAGTATATTAACACTGTCACAGCAGGAACACATATAATTACCGTATCTCTAAAACTTGAACTAATATTGAAAAAATAAGTTTCATTCCGGTTTTAGCACATTAAAAATAGTAATATTTTGTTGATTTTATTTAGGATATTTTGTTGATAATCATTTCTGGTTCTTGGCACTCCTATAATCAGCTAAAGACATTCAGCTTCACTTGGATTTGTTCTAATCTTCATCGTCACAAATTTTTAGACAATTTGTAATAAATGGCACAATAAGCGTTCAATATTTAGCTTTGTTATTATGAAAACATTGAGAAGTTAGAAAAGGCACAAAATGGAAGCCATAAAATTCCGTTCCTCAATTATGAACAGCCGATCGAAACCTTGTATTTTTAATTCACTGAAAAAATCGAACTCTCTCAGAACCTGAACTGTTAGGAGCAGTTCAGAACCAGTTCGGGATCAGATACAGACAAAATGTAAAATGTACGGAAAATACGTATAAAATTAGAATAATTTTATTTTACAATAATTGTTCAGGTATTTCAATATGGTCTCCTGAGACAAGATGCATTTCAGCCACTGTTGAAACGATCGCTTTCCAAAATTTTCGTTTTTCTATTGTAGGCTAACTACTTATCGAGTCGCGCTCGTACATACGGAACTTTTTGTTGAAATTGCCGCGCAAGCTCTGTTCAATTCGGAACCAGTAATGATCGCAAAAAATATAAATAACGAAGCGTCATATAATCACCTCAAAGTATATGACACGGTTAGTGTGTTCGATAATAGCTGAAGCATCAGATGCGAAGAAATATTCCACCTGTTTGTCCTCCAACGGCTCAAATTCCGACGTAGACCCCGTCCTCGGCAACGTCGGGTAGTCTGCCCTTCCGTGCGGTCTGAAGTCTGGACGCAAAAGTATAAAATTATTTAACCACTGCGACTATCAGACATCTGAAGTATTTAGACTTTATACCATAGATTTTGAATAGCACTGTACCTAGAGAACAAGCGGATTTAATATGTCTCGCAATACTGCCCAGTGTGTGGGAAGTAAAAATAAAAACATGACTGAATTAACTGTTTGTCATTTTTATTAAAAACAATGTCTTGGATGTCGCAGCATTATACATAATGGAATCCAAAATCCAGTTTAAAATATTAGATAATGCATTAGATTTTCACCTGCTTGTTTTTAAATATGTATATTAATCCTTTTTTTGTTTAATCCATCATGCAAAACCAATACAAACCCAGAATCCCTTGTAATTCTAATCCTTTTATTGATTCCACACTTTGTTACTAACGTGCTCATGCTTTAAAGCAAACTGAATAACTATTAATGCTTTCTTTTCAACTGATATGCTAGGTTCCACAAGCAGAACAGTGCTGATATAATAAATATAATCTCTGGTACATAAAAAATAACTTGGTATACCGTTTAAAAACTTTTGATTTCCAATACTACCCAAGTTTGTCTGCCCAAATAAAACCACACATGATGATCAGCACGAAAAGCACAAGATAAATTTCAGATGTTACATATTCATTAAAGAAATTGGACCAACGTCTCAAATTCGTAGAATAAAGATTTTTGGCCATCAGGTTATTGATTATATCAGCAATACTAATCTACAAAGCGTCAATTTCGACAACGTCAGCGACAGCGGTACCTGAGAAACCACAGTACTTACCGAAGGTAAATTCTCACACCACAAGATGACCCAAAGCGGAAAGTAACGAGGAACAAGGTCAGTACGAAAAGCTGACAAAAGCTTTTGTTAATGAGAATGGAAAACGACAAAAGGTACTACCTGAGTTGGTATCAGCATCTGCAAGGCGGCACCACAGAAACAAAAACAAAGGAAAAACAAAAAAGATTAAAAAAAAACGTACACAATGCATGATAGTTTTCTATAACCCCATGCCTATAATTTTTTATTAACTATCTACAAAAAAAATTATTCGGAAATATCAAACGTAAAATCTATATATGTTTATAGGATGGGGTTATTGAAATACTGAAAAATGTGGGTTATAAAAAATCTCATTGAAATAATTTATCGATACTATAATTTTAGTAGCTGTTCAATTACATATTATATTTTTCTCAGTGAGATTTTTTTATTACGAAAATCTGGAAAAATGATAGTGGTAAAACACAAAACCATGAGTAATGATATTCTTTAATTTTTCCGGAATATATCGAGGCTTCTGTACTACATTATGGACAGTTATTTAATGCACTACGAAAATAGGTTAATTTGTGCTATACCATATTTTACACCATCATAACTCATTTTCATGGTTTCTGTTATGGGTGTTTGTTTCGTGTTCATACAGGGTGATTCACAAGTCGTGACACAGAACCCCATTTTCCATGTAACATTTCTTGCTCGAGTGCTTCATTAAAAAGTTACGGGGTGACGACGTTTCATTTTTGGTCACGACTTGGAATCACCCTGTATAAAATAGAACCACGTATGCAAAGCATGGCACAGCTGCAACGACAAATGGCTCGATAAAATTAAAACGAAAAGCGAACAGTAAAAAGCAAAATAAAATAGAAGATATACCTTTGTCTATCGAAGATTTACGGTGGTCTTCTACATAGGCCAAAACATCCATAGAAGAGAAATAACAAAGACATTCTGTTAAAAAATTGTTAAAAACATCACAAAACATTCAATAGTGTTAATATTGTCAGTATAAGCCACTCAAAATGCGGTATTGTTACGTGTGTGCAAGTGTAAGGCAAAAATTGTGCAATAAATTAGTGACAATATGATATAAAACGTATCGAACAAGATACAAGTTTTGTTCTGTATAGTGTCTTGAGGCTGCGAAAAAACACAAGATAATATTTAAATTTGAAATAAAGTCCCAACCACTCGTTAGTTATTCACAATTGAAGGTATCTCAGTGATGCGATGTGTAATGTAAGCGTACATCTACCTTGTTTTTATTCTACCAGTGCACACTACAGCCAATCTAAAATCTACCTCGTGCAACAACCATAGAAATAAATATTATCCAACCTTGCTCATATCCAATAAGACTCAAAGCCCAAAGTTTATAAGACATAAATACATATTTACCTTTTCCATATAAGATCGGTACGTGGTCTGTCGCTAGCCTAGTGACAGTCTTGATGCCCACCAAAAGCGGCGAACCACGCCTTGTTGCAACGCATTCCCCAGGAAAATATTTTGATTTGAAACATAGGGCAAAAGCACCTTCCTGAAATAAAAACAAAAAAGAAATTAGAAGGCATCTACTACTGCGTTCGGTAACTTGTTATTTTGTGCTATATCGCAGTAGCCTTTGAACACGCGCGATAAGCAAACTTTAATTTGACTGCTGTCAACTGTCAAAACTATTCCACAGCTACTACGATACAGCGTAAAACCACTGAAGCCCCAAGTTACCTGAACGCGCTCATTGCTGCATAATTTTTATCTGGAAAATAAATTATTCCTTACCAACTGTTGAACGACAGATTCCACTAGTTCTCTGAACGAAAAATTCGGATGCTGTTGATAAAAATGAGAGATTAGTTTAGCTATCACTTCGGTGTCTGTTTCACTTTCGAAGCTGAAAAATAATAATAAAAGTGTAAAAGTATTTTCTAAACGGATTTTATCAGATTGTAGTGTATCTTTAAGAGGATATTCTTCCAATAAAGGGAGGTTGTAATAACTGTATATAGAGTATAATTGTAAAATATAGTTTTTATAGAAGTTTTTATAGAAATATGACAGAAGATTTGATTTTATGTTTATATACAACATGTATTTGGTTTTTCTTGAAATTATCAGCAATAACTCAAAAACCTTACATCAAAAAAAGAGTACCCCAAAAGAACTATTTAACGAAATATACAGGGTGTTTCATTTGAAATTTTTGAGTAAAGGTTCATTTTGCGTTTTGAGATATCCTGTACAAAAAGAAATAAATTTCAGTCATATTTGCAGATCAGCTTAAAATCGACGATTATAAAATTTTTATGAACTGAAATTTATCTACATATCTTCAAAAATGGCGAGCCGTCAAAGTTGGGCATTTTCTCAGACATTTCACTGAATATCTAAACAATTGACAATCGAAATATATATATATATAAAATATATAGTAGTCTATTTAAAAAAACACGTATGCACTTGTAATTTTCTGGTTGAATATGTTAATCAACGACTCCATCCAGAAATATTACTTTTACCATCAGAAGTGGGATGTGCCGATAAAACTGATCGACATACCAGAAGCCTTTCTTTTCTAGGAACACCTTGACCTCCTTGTAGTTCGTGATGATCCCGTTATGGACCACTACGAAACCGTTGCCTTCGTCTGATCTGTGCGGGTGACAGTTGACTTCACTGGGTACACCGTGAGTCGCCCAACGCGTGTGAGCAATTCCACAGTGCACGTCTACTATATCGTCCATGTCCAATTCATTGCTCTCTAAAAAAGGTACACAACACTTATACGATTGTAAATGAAAAACAAATCCTCAGACAACGCGCCCGCAGTATCGCATACGCAAAAACGGCAATCACGTACGTTAAAAAAAATTACTCACTGTTCTTAATCGCTTCCTCGAGTAGAGCAACTTTTCCCGTTTTTTTAATAATGGCAATGTCCTTGGAGTTCGCTGCGTCGACGGCAACACCTTCGGAAAATATTTCAATTATAAAAAAGGTTCGCATTTCTCTATCGGGTTCGGTGGCTTGTGCTTGCAACGATTGTATTTCTTGCATGCAGATTCGAGTAGAAAAGTTCATATAAATATGTGCTCTAAACAGTCTGGTTGACTGTTGTTTGGTCTTTTAAAAAACTACAATATTTGTATGTTATGACCTTATGAAGCAACAGGTAGTTTTTCAAGATGTAATACTGTTAAAATTTTAACATTCACTCCTAAAAAAAATGTAATTCGTTGTGATGTGTTCCTGACATACAGCCGTGTGTTTTTTACTATTTTTAACGAATGGACCATGGATCCAGCATTCACCAGGGCATTAAATGTTTCCATCAACTCAACAAATAATAACATTTAGCAACAATCTCACATACTGTTCTCCTGCGGATGAGAGCGTAGTTCATCGAAAGCTTGAGATAGTAAAGTAAAAAGAGTCCTTATTGCTTTAATCCTGTCGAAGTACCCAACTAAAGGCTGAAGATTTTCTCACCTGGTTGTTTAGACGACAATGACCACAGCTGAAATTATATATATATATATATATATATATATATATATATATATATATATATATATGTGTGTGAAAAATTAAAGCTTCCGCTTTTTGTGGGATACTTCAACAAAATTTAAGCAAAGAGGACTCTTTATACTTTTTTTAATTCTCTCTAGCTTTCAATGGACTTTGCCATCATCACCAGGAGCTGCAATTACAATGATAACAGTAGCAACAAAAGTGTAAAATGAATTTAAATTGAATCAACTTACAGTAGTATGTGAGGATGTTGCTAATTGTTGTTTTCGTATAGGATGAGGGAAACGTCCAGTAACATGGTGAGAGCTGGATACATGGTACAATGGTTAAAATTATATAAAATATGACAAGACAAGTTAATGACAGATTAAAAATTATTTAGAAAACATTAGAGCATTACGTCGTGAAGCCACTTGATGATTGCACAAAATGGTGGTCATGGAATAATGAGTGAGATGAACCTTTGACAGAAGGCCGAAGGTTGTCAATGTCTGTGTTGAAAGATGGAACGAATTGTGGGCGTGTGCCAATACGTTGCCAAATCACTTCAGATGATGTGATTTTCCGAATGTTATGTAAGAAATTGTTAAACCGACCAGAGGCAGTTGCATAAAATATATTTTAATTAATGGGAATTTTAAATTAACAATTATTAATAAATCGTGAGAAGAGAATTATTAGATTTTGAGTGGAATTAAATTTGTTGGTGGAATCGGCCAAAACACAGATTATATTTATGGTTGTGAAAAGTCGAAATTTGGGGAGATATGTAAGTTCTCCAATTTTATATATATATATATATATATGTATATACAGTGTTCCGTCGTTAACACCAAACCCAATGTGTCAGGTCTTTTGTTTTTATAATCGCAACAAGTTTTCTCATCCACGTTTTCGTTCTAAAACACCATTTAGCAGCAACCTCATCGACGACTCCTGAAGATGATAACATAGTTTGTCGAAAGCTCGAGATTTCAGTCAAAGCAGTGAGGTAAAAGAAATGTATCCCTGTAGTTTCAGCCGCTGTTTAGAAGTCCAAAAACACTGTCACTGAATGTTTCCTATTGTCCATACATATTCTCCTCCTCTTCCTAAATCCCGCTTGAAATTTGGTTAAAATTCTATTCCATTCGATGAATTCGACGATCTATTCGTAAACAATTTTCTCAAATACATTTTCAACATCTGGCCGAACAGTTATTATTAACTTTCGAAACAAGAGTTATTATATTTCTTGTTCCAATGATATCAAAACATTATTTTGACAAAAAAACCCTGTATCGTGGATACCAGACTTTTGAGGACACACACGTTTTTATAAACGTTTCTACTTAAATTTGGTTCAGGAATGGCCTGTTTACGAGTGCCTATACAGGGTGTTCCAAAATTTTGTAAAATACAACATTTACCGGCCGAGTCATATCCACGGTATTCCAATCTTTTTAGGCCGTTGACAAGTAACTCCAATATTTCAGCCCGTTTCTTCGGAGTGAGATTGTTCAAATACGCGAAAATCCCTGAAACAAAAAATAATATGAGTTTATAAAAATCGCACGTTAGTATGTTTACTTAATTTTCACAAATTTTTGCGCATCTTGTCGAAAACAAGAATCGCCCTACTGTTCAGTAAAGTAAAAACAAACACTTACTAGAAATATTCGGATGAAACCGAAGTAAGTAATCGATCAAAGATGCAATGAGTACGATAAATAAATCAAAGGCAATATCTGTGCGCAAATCGGTAAAATGTGAACGGTAACTTTCGCTATTTATAAATACAGAAGGCGTCCTTGGCATTCTGAAGACACCTCTTTGCTATTACAAAACCAACAGGTCGTAACATTTCGCTGCCTCTCCCGAGAAAATGACCGTGGCTTATCGGTTACTATAATACACAAGACAAAGGACAATAACTTACAACCAAATATGAAATAATCGTAATTTTCAAATGTTTAAAAAATAAAAAGAGTAGTGGTGAAGATAACATGTCCAGCATAATCATAAATCATTATCAAATCACTTGTCATTCCAGTATACAAGAATAAAGGCGATTCATCATCTTTTGATAGTTTCAGAGCCATAAGCTTGTCATCAATTTTATCAAAAATATTTGAGATGGTAGTGAATAACAGAATATTGTTTTTTTTAGCAACATGGTTATATTAAACTCTTACAGCTGCTTATACGTTTATTCATAAAATTATAGTAGACTTGGACAACAATAAAAGTGTTTTGAGTATCTGTCTTTCCCTTATTAAAGCGTAGGACTGCATAGACCCCAATATATTATTGCAAAAATCAGAAAGATATTGCATTAGAGTTCCAGCTTTTTACACTTCTATCGTAAAACGATCCGTAATACAATTCCTGGATATCAATATTTATATTCTTCATAAAGGTACTTCCCATTTAACGTGTTTCGTAATACGCTCATAAATTTTCGCTGATCGGCGTGGATTAAAGTCTATTATTTATAATCGAGTATAGTAGCTTTGCTATCAAGATTATTACAATATGCGACAAATAAAATCAATCATTTTTGACGAGCTAAATTGAGTTATAATGCATTGAGACTATAATCCACGTCAAAACATTTATACGTAGATTCACAGTATTTAGCCAAAAACGTCACATATTTTCAACTGTTTATCAGTGACGATAAGGAAAACCAAGATTAAATCTATATATAACGGGTTCTTATCTTTTCATCTTTTTGTCTTGGGTATCCTGACATCAGCTTCTTCGTTATATTAAGATTTGTTTGTTCAAATAAAAAATTCCTTATGCCTGAAAAAAATGTGGCTACCCTATTTTTGAAACAACGCTCGTAATAAGTATAACTGTATTTCTAATATTTCATAGGTTTTCCCAGTAGTCATTTTATTTAACATAATTGGTATCTGTTACAAACTCACATAAGGTAAACAAACTTAAGCTGCTAATATTTATAAGATTAATATTTGGAGACTACGACAACGGCAATTTAAACAAACCAAATAGTTATTCTTAGCTTATTAAAATGAATAGAAAGTAGTTTCCTGTCCCCGAAAATGTGTTATTGTACCCAAACCAAAAAAAGTCGTGATTGGCATTACAAATGAAATTAACAGTAAAAACTGAAAACGGAATCTTCTACGAGATGTTTTGTTTTTCGTTCGTAAAAGATGCCAAGTAGCCATAAAATCACAGTTATAAGTGATCTTGAATAAGAAAATATATTGTGGATCCAAGATTAAGAAACAGTAGAATTATCAAAAATTCGAAATTACACACGAGGCACAAGAATATTAGTATGCCTATAAAAAATGGCATCAAGAAGATTGACTCTGAATTCTGTTATCAATTAGATTATGAGTGATTTAGCTATTTTTTCATAAAAAAATCATAACAATAATAATAAGTTTATTCACGTAACATACAAATATAACTAAAACTAACGTATATAAACTGAATTTACCCACAATACATTCAACTTTTTGAGAACGTTTACCATTTCTGTCGGAATATCGAAAGAAACCCTCTAGCGGCCACATGTGAAACTAACAAAACTTACATATCATAACATTTGCAGCCCAACAATAGCTTTAATCACGTAGCCCAAGTTTGTTAAAATCGTTACGGAAACCTTTCAGAAACTTGACAATACTTCCAGGTTTTTCTCTTGGGCGTTTTAGTAATTTCGCCTCTGCGATGGATAGGTTCCCAGACGCAGTACCTCGCACTCTTAGTTGGCCACCCTGTACACGTCATACAAGATCCAAAAACGCATAATATTGTGACAAATAGCGCCATCTGTTGGGCGAGTCTCCTACTCGCCGGCGCTTAATTGCCGATCTCTGCTTTTACACGATCGCACAAGCCGCCTGGCGGCGTCTGTGAGGACCCTGACAGTGGATCGCCTTCTAGATCGACGCGAAGTGATCTCCAACATTCTAGATGTCGCTTTGTGATCTTTCTCGAAGTACGGAATACGGTAGCAGAGCGGTGTCAGGTACAGTGCAGTCAATGGTGGCATAAGAATTAGTCAGACATAAATAGTGGTGTATATAAATGTTTTATAAAGTTAAATAAATCAGTGCATTTCTTTTTGTGGAATCCAGTGTTTTAATCCACACCCAACAGTAGCCAGAAAAACGCTACAATATCACATTTTCGCGGTTTCCAAGTTTTGCAGTTTTTCAGCTAATTCTACTAGACTATTAAAATTTTATGACTGTTTTGCAATAATTCTCCACCATTGTTCTGAACAATCTGCTTCATTTCCTAAAAGGCTTATATAATATTTGTTGTGCACGTATGCAAACTATCTTTATCCAGCACTCAAAAATTGTTATCGATACTTCCTTCGAAGAAACTCAGTAATACAGACGCATTTTTTTAAGTATCCTGTAAACAATTTCACTGTCAATAATGCCATGCTTATCTTAGATTTCGTGGAATGAACGGGTACAGTATTTAAGGCGGCTTAAATAGATGGATAAAAAAATATCGACCAGATACGTATAGTATAGATCATAGTTGATTATTAATTACACTGGAACAAATGCTCATTAGAAGTAATGTGATTGTTTCAAAATTATTTATATAACAGAAAACAGTCCGTTAAAAATGAAGATATATTCGGCAAAGAAATGGTAACGTTTGAACATCAAGTGTGAACACGCCCTAACGTTATATATAGGCTTAAGGTACCAAATATTCCTACAACTGTAGGACGCCTTTATGGCCTCCTTGATTTTCATAGTTTTTCCAGTCCAGAAAACTTTTGTACGCTGGAACCGAAACTCTTAACATACAAAAAAAACTATATTTATTAAAAGTATTATTATAGATCAACATATAAAAAAATGTATATTCTTCAAGAATTATAATTATGAAAAACTCTTGAACGACCCGTTTTGAGTAAAAAAAAAACATTGTAATAATAAAATTGTAATACTTGACACAACGCCGCACACGCTGTATAACATATGGTTACTTATTTATTTCTATTCATTGTAGTTAAATTATTTTGAACGCACAAGGATATCCTTTTGTGTGGGTCCGATTATAGGAAACAAACGCGCGAATTTGACCTTCCACCTGGCTAGTCGACATCAAGATCCGAAATCTTGTTTACCGTGATGCAAGTCGCATGAAACGAGGTTACGAAAATCGGAGATCACTTTTACTTTTTCGCATAATCGAAGACGGTCAAAGAAAAGCATAGTGTTTACGGATATTTTTGCGAATATAGTCACTGTAATTTCTCTTTCAATGCTGCACATCGTGTTGTTATTTTTCTATTGTGGAAATCCGTCAAGTAGATTGACTCTGTACTGACGATGAATATCAAAACGTCAATCGGTACGTCCGCAATTACAAAATGACAGTTTAAAAAACATTTGAACTCCACTTTTAAGGAAGGTAATGTCAAAGGTCGTTATCTAGAAAATTTGTGAAATTGTGATATTGCTACAATTAGATTCACCATAATCCATTTGGTGTTCAAAAACTGTATTCTTCTCACGGTGACAACTCTATACCAATTTTATTCTGTTAATCAAGGATTATGGTTGAGAAACAAAATTTGGACACCAAAACCTCGATTTATACTTCAATTTATATTAACTGATAAGTACATATTTCGAAAGTAATCGCAAAAAATTTTGAAATCGAAATGTGTATTATGTTTTTAGATGTTACTCTGATTATTTTCTATCAGATTTTCAATAAATTTTGACAAAGTTAGTACCATGCTAGATTTTGAAAATTCTAGCATTTTCCAAATTTCGACATTTTTTTATCGCTGTTATCACTAAGATGCCTAAAACTTATGTGAACCTAAAATTTTAAATATATTTATATCATGTATGGGAAGTACTGGGAGTCAATCTACTTGACTTCATTTTCTTTGTACCAGATTTTGCAGTTTACTATGTATCCATTGTTCTTTGTGCAAATGATGTATTTTAGTTTGAAAACAATGTATACAATAAAGACAAAAAGAAAAGTAGACTGTTGTATGTACTGTTTACTCCCAACTTTTAGGTTATGGGCCCAGATCCAGAGACTATGGTTAAATTTGTCAATCTTTCACATACTGTATTGCAACATAATATTAAATTATTTGTATGTATATGATATTTCTTTCTGCTACCTTTGTATCCACACCCAAAGTGCATAATCCCAAGGACTGAAATGTGAATAGCTTGACTAGCAACAAGCTCCTATTGCATATAATGTAGGATTTTTTTCAAAACAGCAAAACATGTCATACCATAAGATTAAAGTATACTTTCACTTTTAATACAGGTCCTCAAACAAAATTCTTGCATGTTATATAATATTCTGATAAATTTGCAGCCTTTATGACACAATTTCATAATACTAAGTGGGTATTTCGTTGCACTGGGGATTTTCGTAAAAGTGTATGTATATTGAATGTTGTCCATATTTATGTATATGTGCACATAAAACATATCAATTAGCCTTTTTAGTTTTGAAAAACTAGACTGAATCAAAACTAGTTGCAATTGGTAATTAAAAAGAAAACAAAAATACACAGATTTTAAATTTTGTCATGCTTTGTTTTCTAATTCTCATAAACTCACCGCCTACTATTATGTACTAGATTAGGGTAAAATTTAATTGAATATTTCGTTGATCACTTAAATTAACACTTACCACACATCGTGTCAGTTTAGTATTCAAGAAAATAAAGGACGCTGTGTTCACTCAACTATTACACGTGTATTAAACTAACTGGAAAATGCAATGTATTGCTTTTTATATAAACACGAACTGTCAGTGAAATCGGTAGACGCCACGACCTGTGCCACGACCGCAATCATCTGTTTTCTGTCAAAATTCGAATCTGTCAAGTTTTTATAGAAACATCCGGAAAGAAATCTATATCGATCCTAACAAGTTAAGCACCAAGTCGATAGATGGCGGGATATTATTATCCACAGGCGTAACATAAGAAGGTGGACCAATAGTGGGAATTTATAAAATGTTCTCTCTCTCTACTGTTGGGAATCGTAATGCGGGTCCTCAGATGCTTCCAACGTTGTGTACAAGGTTCGACACCTCACGATTGGCAAAGTCTCCTACACGATGGGATGGACTTTTTAGTCTCGGACGTTGGCGCTTGAACATTTACATATTCCATAGATTTAGCAACACTGATTCGGCACGAAGGATCAACGCGAGAATTTTGTTTTCATAAAATTTCCATAACTGTCGACAGTTTTATTACCTGAGACGCCGCTGGAATATTGATTGAGTTGAGGTACTCTACGCAAGATGGCACGCACAATCGTCTATTTGGGCATTGCCACATCAAGCTTTTCTCCTGACATCTAAGACTTAGGCTACCTTTAAAAGCGATAAACAAAATTGTTACACATTTACCATGAAACATCAATAATTAGAATGAGAGTCGGATCCTCAGAAGGAAAAAAGGAATATTAAGGATGAAGTTACATGAATTGATTGTTGAGGCGACTGCAAACCATAAATTTTCGTTACATGAAATGTGGCAACACTTGACATTGACAAGTGCATGTTTGAATTCTTAATTTGTTTTTCGGATCGACTATCGTTCCAATTTTTGATTTGTTGTTTGTGATATGTTGAAAACGATTATTATTTTTCCGTATCAAATAATATCTTCATTCGGCGTCGTGCTCTAAAAATAAATACTGGACTCTTATATTTCAACGTAAAATTTTCGTATCGCCAAATCGAGATGGCCACACTCGAAGACAAAATCCTCGGCGAAAAGCTGCACAACTATTGCAGTAGCAGCGAGGAAAGTGGCGGTGAAAATTCAGACTGCGAAGGTGAAGGCGCCAAGCAACCCGAGGCTGCGGAACCCTCGTCGTTGAACAAATGGGAAGGCACGTCTACAAACACGGGCCCCAAAGGCGTGATTAGGGATTTCAAAGACTACAAACAGCTCGAAAGCGAGAAGCGCCGTAACGAAGAACGGCAAATGATCGAGTTGGCCAAGAAATTCACGATGACAGTCAAGTCGACTTTGGAAGAAGAAAGAGAAAAGGCGGCGTTGGAAGATCCAGAATTGGCGGAGTTGTTGAAGGATGATTTTTTGCTGCAGTATCAGAAGAAAAGGATGCAGGAGATGCTGGAGCAGACGAATCATAATATCAAATTTGGTAAACATTTGTTAGTATTTGTGATTTTATGACCTAATACTGTTTTGCAGGTAGCTTGTTAACCCTAACAACGGGCCAGGAATTCCTCGACGCGATCGACAAAGAACACAAGTCAGTCACAGTGATAATACACATCTACGACGACAATCTCGAGGCATGTCGGGCGTTGAACGCGTCTCTTCAAGAACTTTGCAGAATATACGAAAACGTCAAATTCTGCAGGATGCCCAGCAATTGCGCGGGAGTTAGCAGGGAGTTCAAACGAGAAGGCTTACCGGCGTTGCTCGTCTACAAAGACGGAAACTTGGTAGGGAACTTTGTCAGGTTGACTGACGACTTGGGGAATGATTTCTCTGTAGAGGAGGTCAAGATATATTTGGTTGAACATGGGTCGTTGGAGGATAAAAGTTTAACACCAGCGTTGATAAAGAATGCCAGCGAGTCTAGTGATTCTGATTAGAGTATTTCGATTTGGAATTATGTGGCCAAAGATTTGTCTGGATCGTACTTGGAGATGAAATTCGAGTCAGATTTTTTTTGGTGTAAAAGAAACGACTATTTCTTTGTCGCAAGCTTCATCATCATTTTGAAATGTGAAAAAGTCTTAAATGCAATGCAGAAATGTGTAGAATGTTCATTCTCTATAACATAAAGAGCCACTAAAAAGAGAATCCATATAAAAACAGGCGCTATACAATATTGCCAAATACTGACTATATATACAGTATTGAGTCAGCTATCTCCAATATTTACAATAATTGTTACTATACAAATTTAATGCGATATTAAGTCAATTCCAAAATCTGATATGAAATACAAGAGCTAGGCATATTTATATATATTTGATTAAAAAAAGATTGATGCTTCATCTGCTCTTTCTCCTTGTAACTTGTCCACGAAAAGTGATATACCGGGTGTGAAAGACTATGGAATATCTCTGTTTTTTCACAGAAATATTTTTGTTGAAGTTTAAGGTCAAGTTTTACTCACATTGAACAAGGAGTTGGATTTGACCTTCACACTCACATTTCGTATTATTTCAAGGTCAACTTACGTGCTATCAAGACCTTGAAGATGAGGCTCAATGTCAAATCCAAGGTCAATAATGGAAACTTTGTTAAAAGTTACTTTGGGTTTGACCTTGACTTTTTCATATTATTCTACTTTTAGAAATTGCCGCTAGCCTCACACATTTGAGCTTTATAGGTGACCTTGACCTTTAATTTTGATACACATTTGGACATTGGAATTTTTCTTTATTTTGATCGATGTCAAATAAGATTTCCGTTTAAAACACAAACTGCCTTTGAAATAACCTTGAAGACGATGCTTAAAGTCAATTCCAAGGTCACAATTTGATTAACCTTGAGAATCTCCTTCCAAGTAAATTCAAGGCTAACTTGTACGTTCTAATACGTTGTCATGTACTATTATGACCTTGAACTTGTTAGGCTTAAGGTCAAATCCAAGATCAATAATGGAAACCTTGTTAAAAGTTCCTTGAGGTTTGTCCTTGATTTTTTTTATGATTTGTCGCTAGCCTCACATATTTGACCTTGATCTTAAATTTTGATGCATATTTCGATGACCGATGCCAAAAAGGATTTCCGTTTGAGACAAACTGGCCTTGAAATATCCTTCAAGACGATGCTCAAAGTCAAATCCAAGGTCAAATTAACAATTTAACCTTGAACCTCTACTTCTAAGTAAATTCAAGGCCAACCTTTACGTTCTAATACGTTGTCATGTACTATTATGACCTTGAACTTGAGGCTCAAGGTCAATACTGGAACCTTGAAGAGGATGGTCAGGGTCACACATTCATATGGGGACGTACAGTTTTCCGTTATCGCGAATACCGGTATCAAAAATAGGCTATCCATTCAAAACACAAAGATTTTCCTTGAAGATGATGCTCAAGGTCAAATCCTAGGTCATCGTTGAATTCCTTATTTGAGCGTATCTAAAACCTGATGACTGTTTCTCCGCAGTATTCCTCATGCTTCCCATTAGCACCTTCTTAGACGGGTGTATGTGTAAGTCTATCCATTTATGATTTTTGACTATTTAATGTTGCTAGTCCCAGGAGATTAACAGACTGCCAACATTTGTACCCATCTTAAACCACATCTCATCTTGAAAATGCTAATCAGTATTCAATCTAGTTTTATGCAATAAAAATGTTTGAGTATTTATGTAAAATAAGCTTTATTTACATTTTGTTATCAAGTATACAATGTATATAATGTGTCAAAATTTGAATTAGTTTTGCTACTATCACTTATACATAGAGCAATATGAAAAGTGATACTGGTTCAAATATACCAACATATTTTATATTATGTTGTTTTTTTTTATCAAATGCACTTATAGCATAACACAATCCATATGATTTATTTAAAACATGTTACATGGGGTGTCCCATAGATAAATTGACAACTGTGACTAAATGATACAAAACAGAAGTTTTTGACCAAAATAATGATAACAAGTATAACAAACTAGGAGTACATATATTTGGAATCAGGAAAAAGCTGTTCTCATTTTCACTAAACATATAACCTTTCTGAAACATTTCATGTCAATGGTTATATAAAAAGTTAGAGAGGGGAGTTTAAATCATTGTGGGATACCCTGTACAAACTTCATAAAAGTAGGAGAGGAAAAAATATGTTAACTACCTATACAGTGATTATTATCTTTTATGTGGTTACCCAGATAATAATCTTCCAATATCATAGTGAATATATGTTCTTTTCAACGAGTGTCCTTTACGTTCCTACATCTAATGAGACAATAGTTGTGAATTCGGGTAAAATTGCTTTTAGCGTCTTTTCTTGGGTACTTTTCTAAATAAAAACGTTGTTAGGAGGTATAGAGTATAGATCTAGCGTTGACAGATCCGTCAGAACTATGTGTCCCTTGTCGATATGGGGTATTTTGAAATGTTACTAGATTATCAGCTGACGTAATGGATACTCATGAATAAGACTAGAAAATATATGTAGATTATTTTGGCGGACTATTTTCTTTGTCCTCTCCAAACTATGAGTATTACGTACTGTAAAATAAGATTTTCCAGTTTAGGTCAATAGTATTGAACCTGTTTCGATTATATGATTGTTTTGTATAGTAATAGAACAAGATGGTATACATATTGTCTGGGGTTTTTGATTTGGACAATAAAACAGGTTCAGTAATATTGACTATAATTGAGGATACTATTTTTGATCTCCTTGTTACTTTATTGTTTTTGTATATTTTGTTTTACACTTGTTCAAAATAACTCTTTTTATACTCTTGTAACTTTTATATGTAATGAACTAATACTAATAAATATATCAGATTAAATATCATTTTTCTTGTAACAACCCATTCGAAAACTGTCAGACTTTTGATTCCAGAAAAATGACAAATATTGAAAATAGTCGCACGAGAATAAGAAATTAAAAGATTTCGTGTATCAGCTAAATTTATTGCAATTCCAAGACTGGAGCGACAATGTAGTTTTGCTTTTGAACTAAATACGTGGGTAATCCCATTTATTTCCAATAATTTTCTATGAAATCGAACTATGACTTTTTGTGGATTTTACAACTAAATATACTAATGGAAAATTTGAAGGATCAAATAAAACTTGTACATTTTTTGTAATTTTTTGAAGTGCTGTATCTCAGTAAAAATGGTTGTATAGAGGTGTTAAATATTAAATTCTCCGCTTTTTGGATCTTCCAGTGAAAATGAGCTAAAAAATTTCACCTTGATCTACCCAGACTTTTTTTTTTTTGACAACAAACTTCCGAAAAGATCAAAGAATCTCGTTTATTGCTGCCAAAAACATTGACATTGAAAATTTCTATAATCTTTGTCGAAAGTTTTCTTACAAAAGGTTTTTCTTTATTCTGTATGCTTCTTGTACGGAAAACGTGCAAAAACTCAAATGAACCATTTTCCATTTGTGTTTAGCAGCCTTTTCGAAATTTCGACTGTTTAAAACAAAAATAGGTGACCATATCACAATATAGGAAAAACTATTATCTAATTTATTACTCAAACACCCGCTGTTAAACATTGAAACTGCTGATTCAGCTTTTGAGTTATTAAAGAAAATTACGTCACTGGTTGCAATTTTGCAAAAAACGCTTGCGACCAAATAACTAAAGAAACAGTGCAAAATTGCTTCCGCAAAGCAGTATTTAGGCAAGAAAATATGCAAAGTGAAGGCCACTTAAATGTGGCTGATACACCTGGCCCAGAAGATGACTTACCACTTAATGTATATACTTTCATATATCTTCAAACATAAAAAAAAATTTATTGAAATTGAATGATAATTAAAACCTTTATGATTATTTGAACCTAGATAAAGGTTCCAGTACCAACAGAAGCTATTCTAAATTATGAGTATAACCCTGGCCACGCAGCTGAAAAGTTTTGTTGAAAATCAGGGAGAAACAGACTCTGTAGTCTCTTTCCAAATTAGAAATGCGATTTCAAGACGCCATTTTAAAGAAAAAAAAGGAGACAAACGACAATAGACGAACTTTGGGCCTTTAAAGTGACTTTTTATTTCCTTGTCTTGTGTTAGTACATATGAGTGTACATACTCGTTATATTATACATTTATGTACATACTTTGTATATGTCTAAAAGGAACAACCCTTTTTTAAAGTTTATGTTTATTCAATTTTTGTATTTCTTTTATATGGACATCCCTCTTGAATAGACACTTTCAGCCGGACTCATTGGTATCCATCCAAAGGAGATTCGACTGTATCTATATTAGCGTGTTCATATTATCAAGGCAAGGATGTTCATTATCAGGATGTTCTAACAGGTATTTATAAATGAAAACTGTTTTTTGTTACAAAAGTAATAATTTACTATATTTTCATATAATTAACAGGTTTTAAATGATACTGAAGCACATTTTTTATTTGTCGCATGTTATATGTTTCATTAAACTGTTTGTTAATAAAAACATTTTTTTTTTAGTTTACTCCATATTTTTTTGTAAAATAACTTAACTCTAAATATATATACACAACTAATTACATAATTTAGCAAGAATCATACTTTGTCTTTAAATCGTGAATAGAGAAGCTTCTTCCTTTCAAGTGCTGCCTTATATTCCAAATAAGATTTTAAAATCTCATCATATTGTTTACAAGATACTTGTTCGTATTGTCTCTTCAACTGCTTCAGATTTTCAATTTCTTCCTCGCATACTCGTTGCTCTCGTTTAATGTCCTTCACAAGCTGCTTGTATGCCTCAAGTGAGGTACTTGTTTCTGTAAAGGCATCTACACGATTCTTGCTAGTCAGTAATCTCGCCTTCAAATTGCAAATCTTTCCGGATAGGGTCCATTCTTCTATTTTCATCTCTAGGGCTTGCGGCAATTCGTTTAGCCTCATTTCCTTGAGTTCAGTCATCAGTTCTGCTAAAGTAAGCAGATTTTTCACATATTCTTGCTTCAGAGCAATCAATTGATTTTTATTTTCAATTAGTTCGTTTAATGAGGGATCGGAAGTCAACAGTTTTGATTTGTTTTTATCTAACATTCCGTTTTTATTTGTTAACTGGCACTGCTTTTCGATTAATTTTTTCTTAACTATTTCTTCAAGTCTGCGAGACTCTAAATACGTTAAGCTTAACGAATTTACATCTTTAACGCCAAGTATGTCGTCCTCGAGATCGCCCAATCTAGTCGTTTGAGCCAGACTTTCTTGGACAATAATTTCATATACTTTTGATTTCAGTTTGTCATTTTCACTATCCCCACAGTCTTCTTGCCTTGCGAACTCCTCGAGTACATTGAAAATAGTCTTGTACTGCATGTAATAATTATATTCTGTCTGCAAAGGCTCAGATAGGTCGTTAATTGCTTCTTTAGCACTACTTGTAGATTCCTCGCTCTGTTTTACATCGTACGACATAAACGTCCTTTCTTTCACTGAATTAGACATACTCGCATTGTTTCATTAATTGGTAATTGACTTTTTGAATACAGTTTAGCTTTTTTAAATTCAAGAAAAATTAATGATTCTTCGTTCAAAAAACAAAACAGCATTACGTCAAATGTCACTTAACGACATTTGAGGACGCCAATGTCACTAGCACCGCCAACATGCCATAATTGACGTTTTCAAATAGTAGCTACCTGTAACATGATTAACTATGGATGAAGTCAAAACAAAAAATGCTTATAGCTCCGAGCTGACATTGTTAGTTGTCATTCATATAAATCCAGAAGAAAACTAGTTGTGACGAGAATAAAAAAATAGAAAACACACTGGATGTTGTCAAACAATAACACCGCTCTCCGATTTTCGTTACGTAACGAACAACTGGATATAGTCTTGTCGATAACATGCAATGTATCTTCGTTTTTGTTTTAATAATTTACTAGTATGCCGAATATCATTATCTATGCTTTATGATTCAGTGATTATTTATATATGTGGACATGGAATATTATTATTTGAAAAATCATATTAAGAAGACATTTTTGGTCGAAGAATTTCTGATACTTTCGATAAATCACAATAAAGTAGTTATTACTATTTATCTAGTTCCTCAAAATTCTATATTTTCTTTGTAGGTAAGTGTTGATTTTTCAGTATTGAGTGACCTAAAAAAGTCGTTAAAATGACAGCCTTTTAAAGGACGTCTTATTGTCGTCATAAAAATGGCGTCAATAAAGACGTTATTTTTTAGTCAATGACGTTTCCGTCCAAAAGTGCCTGACTATGACATCATTTTGACGTCGTCATGAGCACTGGGAAGTTTTAAAAACAATAAAAAAGGAATTGAGTTGCTGTATTTCAGAGTGCACGGTTATTTTGACTTCTTGGTATGAATATCGTAAAACAAAAATGAGTATATGACCAATTTTGCAAAAGAAATAGTCCTCGAAATGTTCAGCAGATTCTACGGCGGATCTGCGCAACTATTTTTTATAATAATATCCAATGTAAATTTGAACGCAGATTTATTTCAATGATCGCACGATTTCATGTAGAACCTTGTGCAAAAAATACAAGAACTTATAACTGGGCATCCACTGTTACATTTTTAATAAATACCGTAACAGAACCGTGATGTTTTCCTAATTAAGGATTTCGCTGATTTTGGGTACATGAATACATTTTTAATATTCATGTTCTTGCTGACTAGACTATATCCTTTGACTCGTTTCGTATCGAGATAAGAGTATCCGAAGTTACCTTATAGTGACATCTGCGTCTTTTTTATTTAATTAAAAGTATACCACTATACTATTAATTGCTCTCCAGTAGATGTCGCTAATGCTGTTGGGTTGGCGGCATCTGTGAGTGATTTGTGAAGATATATAAATAAACTGAATGTTGAAATCTGTATAACAAGTAAATACTTTCAACAGAAATCACAACACAAGTGACTAACTCTAGTATCTAGGTTAAGCGTTGTTATTTTTTTTTAAATGTGATATTTAACAACTCGCCGAATTTCTTAGATTTGAGGTCTTTCGCTAAATTATCTGGGATAGATTTATTTTATTCTCTATATATCCTACAAATGAAGACTGAACATTCAATAGATATAAATCCCGTAGAGGAACCAGATAGCAAGAGGAGCATGAATTCCAGTTCAACATGTTTAACATTGCATAGGTAAGAAATTTAATAATAGTAATAACCTATGATATCAAGAAACTTTCAAATATAGTTTTCGTATTGTCTGGTACGATGAGGTGTGTCTTATCATACAAGGGCAGATTTAGGAGCTTAGAAAATAGCACCTTCTTTTCTACCTAGTTATGGCACTAATTAACATATTTTCCAACGACATGCCCAGCCTCATGCTGTATTTGGATGTTCACATACAATTTCAATCATCACAGCCATTTTGAAAAGTAACTAATTCCAGTTGAAGCAATAAAAACAGATTTCACTTTCCTTTTAAAGATAATTTTTGCCAATTTTCTAGCTTAGCTACACCCGCCTTTATAGTTTCTCTATAGCGTGAACTGCAGCTTGAGCACAACTTGAACCATAGCTTGATCCAAAGCTTGAGCATGGCTTGATATATAGCTTGAGCATGGCTTGATCCATAGCTTGAGCATGGCTTGAGACATAGATTGTGCATGGCTTGAGCAATAGCTTGAGTATGGCTTAAGCCATAGCTTGAGCATGGCTTGATCCACAGCTTGAGCATGGTTTGAGCCATAGCTTAAGCATGGATTGATCCATAGCTTGAGCATGGCTTGAGCCATAGATCGAGCATGGCTTGATACATAGCTTGAGCATAACTTGATTCATAGTTTGAGCATGGCTTGATCCATAGCTTGAGCATAGCTTGTACCATAGCTTGAGCATGGCTTGATCCACAACTTGAGCATAGCTTGAACATAGCTTGAGACATAACGTGAGCATAGCTTGATCGATAGCTTGGGCATAGTTTGAGAATATCTTGAGCATAGCTTGATCAATAGCCTGAGCATGGCTTGAGCAATAGCTTAAGCATAACCTGATCCATAGCTTGAGCACGGCTTGAGCCATAGCTTGTGCACGGCTTGAGCCATAGCTTGAACATTACTTGATCCATAGCTTGAGCATTGCTTGATCCATTGCTTGAGCATGGTTTTTCCATAGCTTGAGCATGGCTTGATCCATAGCTTGAGCATGGCTTGAGCATAGCTTGAACATGGCTTAAGCCATAGCTGGAGACATAGTTTGAGCTATAGCTTTAGTCATAGTTTGAGCCATAGCTTGAGCATATCTTGATCCATAGCTTGCGCACGGCTTGTGCTTTGACGTGACCACATCTTGAGCCCTTAGCTTGAGTATGGGTTGATCCATAGCTTGAGCACTACTTGATCCATTGCTTGGGCATGGTTTGATCCATAGCTTGAGCATGGCTTACGCCATAGCTTGAGACATAGTTTGAGTTATAGCTTTAGTCATAGTTTGAGCCATAGCTTGAGCCATGACGTGACCACATCTTGTGACCTTAGCTGGAGCATAGCTTGATCCACAGCTTGAGGGTAGCTTGAGCCATAGCCTAAGCATGGCTTGAGCAATAACTAAAGCTATAGCTTGAGCACGGCTTGACCCATAGCTTGAGCAGGGCTTGATTCATAGGATGAGCATGGCTTGATCCATAGCTAAAGCATAGCTCGAACATAGTTTGAGCCATTGCTTGAGCCATACCTTTAGTATAGCTTTAGCCGTAGCTTTTCAAAATATGTAATACCCCTGCTACATGGCATTTATCCTCTTTGAAAAAATGCTCCCAAGATGGGGCCCTACCGTCATTTTCAAATGTTTTATTGTCACCCTGACAATTAACAATAATATTACTAACAGTAATCTTTATTTGCAAATACAAATGCTATCCAACATCTGTGAACCACTTGTGATACAACAATGCGTCAACCAAACAAAATTAATGATAAAATCTTGCTCTAAGGCATATAATTCAAACATATATTGAAAGTCTTTGATTGTATATGGTTGTTGATTAAGTATTAATTCATATATTTTTCTAAATGCACTTGAGTCTTTTTCTCTACTGCTTGTCTTGTAAAGAGGTCCTATTTCAAATGACGCTAATCTATGACTGGGATAACTATAGTTAAAAAAGTGCTAAGAATATAGTATTTATGCATGAACGTCATCATCTCATTCAAAAAATAAGCGAACAGAGGAGCCCTGTAAATTGACCGCGCTGTATTTGAACGTCCTCTTTATTACCGTTTTAGAATTAAAGTTGAAGTGAAATTAGAGCCTGGGGTTGAAGCTGATTCGAATGATGACCAGATTAAAATGGAGTTCCAAGAATCTGAAATGCTGGAAGAAAAACCAGATTTAAGCAACACAAATTTTGAAAATATGGACGCGTTAGGGCTACATGACGAATTTGACATCAAAACTGAGAGTGACCAGAGTGACAGGCATGATTCGGCGTCCGATAGGTGAGTCTCCTTCAATCCTCCAACTCTACCAAAATTTTATGTCAATTTCTGGTTTGTAAGGTGAGTTCAGAAAATAATGGGAATTTTTAAATTTCTTACATTTATGTAGCTGAAGTGTGATAAAATTTTCAGCTGTATTCATTGTTTACTTTTTCTGTGGCTTACGTTAGACTTGTTTTTATAATATATTTAATATTTACATTATTTAGTCATTGATTGTACTTTTAGTTTCAACAGACCCAAACTTTTTTGGTTACTTTATGTTTGTTATGCATGACATTTAAAATTTACCTACTACATAAAAAAAATTCTACAATGAATGTCCTGAACAATTTCATTTTTACAATGAAAATTCCACATTCCATCATAGATAAATGAAAAAAATAGGATAGAACTGAGTACTCTTCTTTTACAGTGCACAAATAAAGAAAAAGTGCGAAAGGGAACAAAAACATCCACTGATCGAAGAAGAAAAAAAGTTGTTCAGCTGCTATATTTGTAACTATACTGATAATTGTAAACAGGGTTTAATTGTTCATATCAAAAGGAACAATTGCTATTTAGGATCTAGTTTGGGAATATCACGATCTGTTTCCAGGAATCAGTACCAGCTGAATGTTTGTACCAAATGTGATATAAAGTTCAAACACAAAGCATTACTAGATATTCATATGGTTAGAGAGCATGCTGAATGTATTGCATCAGCTCCATCTAGAATGTATGAATGTACATTCTGTGATCTCATATTCGTTCATGAAAGTCATTTAACTAGACATATGTTAAGACACCAGGTTTCTAACCTCCACATCTGCAAACATTGTAATTCATCATTCAAAACAAAGCGACCGCTATTTGACCATATTCTGCAAAAACATCCCGAATTTAGCGGGACAGTTTCTTGTAAGATACATGAATGTACACATTGTGCATTCAAAACAACCATCGGCACTCAACTGACAAGGCACATGGCAAAACATAATACTCGAAAGCCCTTCCAGTGTATGAACTGTGATGCGTCATTTAGAAGGAAACAGTCGATAGACAACCACATTTTACAAAAGCATCCTGAGATTGCCACTTCTGTGTCTCATAAAATATACGAATGTACGCATTGTGAATTTAAAACCACATACTCACACCAGTTAGCTAGTCATACGTTCAAACATACTGGAGCTAAGTTTCCGTGTGCAATGTGTGATGCGTCATTTATAGCCAAACGATCGTTGGACAAACACAATTTACAGAAGCATCCAGAGTTAGCCGCTTCAGTTTCTCATAAAATACATGAATGTACGCATTACGAATATAAAACTACACGCGTGTCACATTTAACTACGCATATGGTGAAACATACTGGAGCTAAGTTCCAGTGTACAAACTGTGGTACGACATTTTCGAGTAAACGATCGTTAGACAACCACACTTTGCATAAACATCCTGCGTCTGCTGTTTCTGTTACCCATAAGATACACGAATGTGCATATTGCGAATATAAAACAACACACCTACAGCAATTTTCTATTCATATGATGAAACATGCTGGAGCTAAGCTGACGTATACAGAGTGTGATGCGTCATTTACAAGCAAACAATCGTTAGATAACCACATTTCACAAAATCATCCTGAGTTTACCGCTTCTCCGTCTCGCAAACTACGCAAATGTACACATTGCGAATATAAAACTACGTTCTCGAATCGGTTAGTTAGGCATGTAAACAAACATACTGCACAACTTACGTGTACAAACTGCGATGCGTCATTTACAACCAAACGATCGTTAGACGACCACATTTTGCGGAAACACCTTGAGCTTACCGCTTCTGTGTCTTATAAGATACGCAAATGTACACATTGCGAATATAAAACTATACTCGCTAGGGATTTAGCTAGGCATATCATGAAACATACTGGAGCTAAGATCACGTGTACAAAGTGTGACGCGTCATTTGCAAGAAAAGAATCGTTGGACAACCACATTTTGCAGAAACATCCTGAGCTGACCGCTTCTGTGTCTCGTAAAATACACGAATGTTCACATTGTGAATATAAAACAACACACGCACACAACTTTGCCTGTCATGTGACGAAACATACTGGAGCTAAGTTCACGTGTACAAAGTGTGACGCGTCATTTGCAAGAAAAGAATCGTTGGACAACCACATTTTACAGAAACATCCTGAGCTGACCGCTTCTGTGTCTCGTAAAATACACGAATGTTCACATTGTGAATATAAAACAACGCACGCACACTACTTTGCCTGTCATATGACGAAACATACTGGAGCTAAGTTTACATGTACAGAATGCGATGCGTTATTTAGAACCAAACGATCGTTAGACGAGCACATTTTGCGGAAACACCTTGAGCTTACCGCTTCTGTGTCTTATAAGATACGCAAATGTACACATTGCGAATATAAAACCACATCGTCGTATATGTTAGCTAAGCATATAAGGAAACATACTGGACAACCAACGTGTACAAAGTCTGAAGCGTTTCATGAACAATAAGGTGACGGCTTTCGGTGACGTACGTATTTTTTTATCTACACATAAGTTTCATCAGCTTGGCCGTGTGTATCCCATGTTGATCCTCGATGTTATGGAAAAAAAACTCAAATCTGTGGATTGCATGTGGTATTTGGGGAAATCGACAGATTATGCAAAGTGTACTCGTGTAACTAAAATCTCAAGCTTTCGACCGTCTATGCTGTCATCATCAGGAGTGCGTTAGCGAGATTGGTGCTAAAATTTGATCTCAGAAAATATGGATGTAGGACGATCAAAAAATCGATCAATTCCCCAAAGCCGAGTTCTTCCACTTAGCTAGTGGTTACGGCAATAACTATGTATCAGATCTCATTTTCAACATACTTAAGTCATACAGTTAAATCAGCTTCACGTATGCTTGGATTCATTTTTAGAAATTGCAGTTCTCTGACTAGCACAGAATCATTAAAGATACTGGTTAGAGACTTACTTGAATATGATTGTATCATCTCGTCTCCTTTATATGTTACATATCCTAAAAAAAAGTCGAGAAAATCCAAACAAAAATTTTAAAATATCTGTAAAAGCATAATCGACGATCTCAAATCATACCTCGTAACTCCGAAAATGTCTATTTTCTGATTTTGTTCCGTTTTGATTCCTGTATGCGTACAGGAATGCCCTCAGAAAATCCATATCGATGGTTCTTAGTCGGGACGCATCGATGATCACAAATCAATACAGGAGTCAAAAGAGAACAAAATAAGAAAATCGAAATTCTTTCGAATTTACGAGGTATTGATTTGAGATCGTCGATATGGTGAGATGCATATCCTCCATTCAACTATCCAAAAAACTATCTTTTAGATTACTTTGGCATGATCAGTCTTGAACACCGAAGCTTTTTGTTAAGTTGCTGTTTTGTGCACAAGTTGCTAAGCAATCAGATTGACTGTGCCTAGGTTGAATAGCACTATGTTCATATAGAAAATCGAAAAGCGGTGGAAAGATCTTCCTTCTTAAGGCTTTTGTATGAAGGTAGATGTTACCGCCGTTAAGTATGATTATTGTGACTTTGATGGGCATTGGTAGTCAAGTACATTGTTGTATGGTTGTACATATTTTCACACATCATTTTATGATTAAATATTTACGTAATGTATTAAGTGTATTATTTAATTTCATTTATAACCTTTTTGCTTCCTCTAAAAGTACAGGTAGGTTTTTGATGAGACTGCCATGTAATTGAGGCTTTGTGGTCTTTGAAAATTGATCAATGGCGGAGCTGCGATGAAAGAAAAAAGTTGTTAAATCCCCGGTTTTAAACGTTCCAGATCACTGATTGTTTTCAGATTCTTTTTTTTGGGATTGTAAAAGGTATCGGCGAAATACGTCAGTTTTAAGAACGAGACGTTTATTTATCGATACAACAATTATAATTTCATTATAGGTATTACGAACATCAATCGAATTCTCACGGATCTTAGTTTTTTATAATCCAAATGCCTAGTATTAGATGATTGTTAAGAAGAAACAAAAATTGCAAAACGTCAATAACTATTAATTTCGATTCATACCTATATGGTCACATTTCTGTACCCTGTACAAATTGGGACCAGATAGATTCATAACTATTTTGGTATCGTTATATTGTCCGTTGGAATCGCCGATTTAACATTTCGATGCCTACAAGATTTTGTATGGAAAATTGTGCAAGAATTTCAACACGGGATCATCATAGCAGCCGCGGTGTTCCGGCATTTAGGCTTCTGCCTGCGCGGCTGTTTCGATATAAAAAAAAAAACGGCATCAACCATTTCTGTTTCAATCAATACTGTAATAAAACCACGATTTTTTGTAAATCGTGATTCGTTAGATATTTGAATTGTCATTGATCTCTGCTGAGGGCTGAGGTTGGATACGACGGCTAAATTGATTTTTAAAATATTACAGTTCTTGTTGACTAGACTATCTCCTCGAACTCGTTTCGTATCGAGAAAAGATAATCCAAGGTTAACTTGTGGCGATTTTATAATTAGTTAAATTAATCCGATACAGGAATCTAGCTAAAAGGTATTAATTAAATTTACAGTAGATGTCGCTAATGCTGTTGAATTGACGAGATCTGCGAGTAATTTGAGAAGATATTAAACCCTGTCGTACACTTCTTTTTGTCTCCGGCAGATATCACTAGCGACTAAGATGGTTAGCCTTTGTGCAGTGTTGCTGAATCTACCGATTTTAAGATATTACTGTCGAAATGGGACCGAAAACATGCTCATTATTCACGATTCTTTAAAGTTACTCAGATATTTCCAATTTTCCAATCATACAAACATATGCGCAGAGTCGGGCACACGAGGAACGGAAATTTGCGTTAGTCCGCTTTCCATGTATTGGTCCTTGTGCGTACAACAGGTACAGACTGGTGGGGTTGATAAGGGAAACTAAAGATTTTATGTTTTTAGTTAAATATTAAATTCAAATGCTGGGTGACGAAGCTTCAAGTTCAGGGATAAAACAAAAAAATATGCACACGATGGTTGCAAATGAGTTTGAAGAGCGAAAGTATGCTGATTGTAGTAATAAAGTAGTTAATATTTTTTCAGGAAAAGATGGCCTCAATGTGCGTGCACAAAACAAAAATATACTTTTGTTGATAAACGGCGCTGCGTGACGCAAAGGTACTTGAACCGCCAGTGATCACATAGGTGTTATGTGCCACTGATTTTGTCCTTCAATCTACCGAATTCCAACGGCACCATCTCCGATTTCGTGTTCGGTTCGGCAACACAGCGTTCGTGTATATTTTGTAGGTTGCTTGAGCACTTGTGCCACTTGTTTGTCATTTTTGGATTAACAACTCGATGCGTTTCTGAACCCGTCATAAGTTTTGAGGTATTTGGATAAATAATCTTTGCGAGAATTATTTTATTCTTTGGAGCCTCGCATTTTTAATGCATTTTGAGGTTCTTTCAATATTGAGCAAGCAGAATAGTATTAGTATGAAGTCCAAAACAGATTTTGAACCAGTCGATAAACCTCGCATAAAATCGGAAGTCACTTATCCTGACTTTGTAGCTGATTACGATAGGTATGATTTTGACTCGTAAGTCCATTAGAGTTGACCTTAGCTTGAGGCATAGTTTGAGCCATAGCTTGAGCATAACAAAACCCGGAAGAGCATTCTCAAGGCTTAGTTGATCTTGAAGCAATTTTTATCCTTGTTTGGTCCCTCAATAGGCTAGAAAGCAGGGATTTTTTGCAGACTGTACAATGAATATTACTCTAGTTGTAGCATCAAAATTGAGGAAGCTAAAATCGTCAAACAGGATAATGATGACTTTGAAAAAACTACACATCATTTTAGTGTGGAAAAGAAAGTTGTTGATATCATAGAAATGAAGACTGAACATTCAGTAGATACAAGTCCTGTAGAGGAACCAGATAGCTTGAGTTCCAATAAAACATATTCAACATTGCATAGGTAAGAAACATAATAATAGTTGATGGGAGGATATTGAGAAAGTTTCAAGTAGTTTTCTTATAGCGTGCAATGTACTAAAAATATGCTAGAGCATACTAAAAACTTCTTTTTTAGAGACAGTTAATAATATGACAAACAAAAATTGATAGTGATTTACAATTAATCAAAAAATGGTGTGATAACAATTATTCAACTTTCAATGTTAATAAGACAAAATTTATGACATGCTATCTGAATTTTTTAAATTTAAATATTGATACACAAAAAAATTATATGTTACCAATCATGTACGTAGTCATGCCATAAGTTCTGTCCCTCGTTTTCAAACAAGTGTAGACCTGTTAATACTTGTCCGATTGTTTACATTGTGGTGTCAGTTGATTAAGCGCTTTTCGGGTAATTACATATACCTCAGTTTGTATTGATCTCTCGAAGCATAACGATGGAGTGGGGCAAGGCAGAGAACCATATTGCAGTGATAGCTTTACATAAGTGTAATCACAGTGCTAGTCAGATTTTTGAACTCTTACGCGGCCTTCAAATATCGCGTAAATTTGTGTCTAGGACCATTCAGCGGTACAATGAGACGTCCTCTGTTGATGACAGGCCAAGAAGCGGAAGACCTCGTCAAGTAAGGACTCCAGCAGCCATCAAAGCCGTAAAAGCCAGGATTCAAAGGAATCCACTCCGGAAGCAGAAGATCCTATCCAGGGAAATGAAGATTCCTGTCCGGACGATGTCGCGCATCATTAAACAAGACCTAGGGCTAGGGGCTTACCGGAGACGTACGGGCCAGCGACTTACGGCCACCTTGCGACACATCAGGGCGACAAGATCCAAGAAGCTCTTGGAGAGGTACGCAGCTGGGGGATTCCGAAAGATTTTGTTCACGGATGAGAAAATCTTCACCATAGAAGAAAAATTCAACCGACAAAATGACAAAGTGTATGCAAGGAGTTCACAGGAAGCTTCGGAGATCATTCCGAGAGTTGAGAGAGGCCACCACCCTGCGTCAGTCATGGTTTGGTGGGGGGTGTCCTACGAAGGGGTCACTCAGCTCCATTTCTGTAAACAGGGCGTGAAAACAAAAGCGGCAAACTATCAGAGCGACATACTGGATCCTATCGTCAAGCCTTTAAGTGGTACATTGTTTGCCAACCAACACTGGGTCTACCAGCAGGATTCCGCCCCCGCTCACAAGGCTAAGAGTACGCAGCGCTGGCTGGAAAGCAATGTGCCAGAGTTCATTGCTGCGGAAGATTGGCCCTCAGGGAGTCCGGACCTCAATCCTTTAGACTACAAGTTGTGGGACCTGCTAGAGCAGTTGGCCTGCTCCAAAGCCCACCGTAATATCGAGTCCCTGAAAGCGGATTTGATCCGATCAGCGGCAGCTATTCCTTTGGAAGCTGTGCGTGCAGTGATAGATGAGTGGCCCGCGAGATTGAAGCAGTGTGTGAAGGCCAAGGGGGGACATTTTGAATAAAACTGTTTGATTATGAATTCTAAAAATGTTGTCGAATAAATAATATCTTTCATATAAATATATCTTATCTTGTTTCATTTTTATCATGAGATTATCATGGGACAGAACTTATGGCACGACTACGTAGATAGATTGATTACCCAACTAGCTAAGATTTCTTTTACTATAAGAAGAAATATTTACAACAGGGAAAGGCACAGACTTAAGCAGTTACTGTGCCTTATTTGAAAGTAAGGCCTATGCTTGTATAATGACTGCCATATCATTTTTCATTTCAGAAACAGCAACACTTTTTTTAAAAATAAACCTAAATTTGAAAGAGATATCAGTTACGATATTAGACAAAAACAAGATTTTAGTACACTAACTTACTTGAATGGATTAAACAAACACTTATTTGTGAAAACAAAAAATTAAAAATTGCTTCTTAAAAAAGTGTATTATTTCATAAATAATTTTCTCTGTGTCAGCAGTAATTTTTAGATTTGTGTTATGTATACATATGAGTTTATCTACATATTATCTCTTATTCCTCTATAAGCTGATTAGTGAGTCTAAGTGTTTCTTTTTATTTATTGTTAGTTCCTTTATTTTCTGCAACATTTGTATTTATATATAATGTTTATTTTGTAAAATAATCAGAATCACCACTATGAGCTTTTAACTTTTCTGTTTTAGCGCCATATCGTCAGTCGCTCCTACAAAAATTGTAGGACGCCTTTATAGCCTCCTTGATTTTCAGTCTTTCCTCTCCTTCAGAAAGACTGGGTGCGCTATTTTTAGATTTCTACTGTTCCGCGTCAGCGCTCTCCTTTTGTCAGGCTATGTTTTCTTCTTGAATTGTAGGGCTTTTCAGGCTATATAAACATCTGTTGAAGCATGAATGATTTGATGCAAATAGATATTTGTAACATAACCTCAAAATAGAGCGCTGACACGGGAGAGTAGAAAATGAAAATCAAGGAGGCTGTAAAGGCGTCCTACAATTATTGTAGGAACGACTGACGATACGGCGCTAAGTTTTTGCATTTGACACATTGTATGTCATCAAAAGATGGTTTTTATTATTTTTTTAGTGTCAAAGATGAACAGTGGGATGAAATTAACCAGGTGAAAACGGAAAATGGGTTGGTAGTTGAGGTTAAATCTGAAATTCCAGAAACTGTGAACAGCACAGAGTTAGAAAATATGGATACTTTGATGCTGAATGAAGAGTTCGACATCAAATATGAACATGAAGATTTAACATGGGACAGGTGCGCTTTTGCACTGGATTTATTTCATTTTATTCTAAACATACCAGAGTCAATTATAGTGCTTTTTAGAGGTTCCACCATACTTATTTTTTGAACAGGTCAACCTGAAATTTGGGGTAATCAAACTCATAGGTATGTTAGTGTATTGGAAATTTTAAGATGGCTGGAATATTTTTCAAGCTCATTCTTGAAGATAGAATATGAGTTTGATATCTTCCGGAAAGGCGGACTGGTGAGGTGCCAAAGATGAGCGTTTTTGAATGTTGAGAGTTTGTAACTTTATATTCCAGGAAGTAACCATAAGTATCTACAAAATGAGCCATCACAAATTCCAACCGACGACAGCCTTGAGACCCGAATCAAGGCAGAAGTTTATCAACTGGCCGCGAAAGCCTTAACCAATTTGTTAATGAGGGTTGTCTCAAAAATAAGGCTCCCACATGTTCTCTTTCTCTTCTAAAAAGTATTTCGTAAATGAGCGAGTTTTGTTGTTGTACCCAAAAATTATTAAAATCGGATAAACATACGTAGATGCTTACCTTTTTCTGTCACTCAGTATAGAATAGAAATAAGGTGTCTATTTTTTTTTTGCAGTGCCCAAATGAATAAGTGGAACAGGGAACAAAAAGATATACAGATCGAAGAAGAAAAACAGTTGTTTAGCTGCTATAATTGTAACTATACCGACGATTGCAAAAAGGGCTTGATCGTTCATGTCAAAAAGAACAATTGTCATTTAGAATCAAATTTGGGAAAATTACCGTCTGCTTCCAGGAAACAGTACCGACTGAATGTTTGTATCAAATGTAATGAGGTGTTCAAACGCAAAGCGTTGCTGGTTGATCATATGGTTAGAAAACATGCCGAATATACTGCGTCAGCTTCATCTAAAATATATCAATGCAAATGGTGTGATTTGATATTCGTTGATACACGTCAATTAACTAGACATATGCTAACACACAATAATGCCAAAGCTTCTGACCCGCACATCTGCAAACATTGTAATACGTCATTTAAAAAAAGGCAATCGCTCTTTGACCATATTCTAAAGAAACATCCCGACTTTAGCGAAACAGTTTCTAGTAAGATATATGAATGCACTCATTGTGCATTCAAAACAACCGTAGGCAGCCATCTTACAAGGCACATAGCAACACATACTACTCAAAAACCCTTCGAGTGTATGAACTGTAATGCGTCATATAAAAATAAGCTGTGCTTGGATCATCACATTGTGAGGAAACATCCCAAGTTTGTAGCTTCCGTGTCTCATAAGATACACGAATGTACGTATTGTGAATATAAAACTACGTACGCGCACGCTCTAGCTATGCACATGATGAGACATACTGGAGCCAAGTTCCCGTGCACGAATTGCGATTCGTCGTTTACAAGTAAACGATCGTTGGACAACCACACTTTACACGAACATCCCGAGTTTACTGCTTATATGTCTCATAAGATACACAAATGTACACATTGTGAATATAAAACAACGCGCGCGGGGGATTTAACTACTCATGCCATGAGACATACTGGAGCTAAGTTCACGTGTACGAAGTGTGATGCGTCGTTTACAAGCAAACGCTCGTTAGACAACCACACTTTGCACGAACATCCCGAGTTCGCTGCTTCTGTCACCCATAAGATCTACGAATGTACAAACTGCGAATATAAAACTACGCGCGCAAAGGATCTAGCTGGACATATGATAAAACATACCGGAGCTAAGCTGACGTGCGCAATGTGTGACGCGTCATTTACAAGTAAACGATCGTTAGACAACCACACTTTGCACGAACATCCTGAGTTTACTGGTTCTGTCACTCACAAGATACGCAAATGTACACATTGCGAATATAAAACTACATTCTTCCATAGGTTAGCTACGCATTTAAGAAAACATGCCGGACCGTTAACGTGTTCGGAGTGTGATGCGTCGTTCACAATCAAACGGTCGTTGGACAACCACATTTTGCAGAAACATCCTGAGTTTATCGCTTTAGTCTCTCACAGGATACACGAATGTACACACTGCGAATTTAAAACTACAGTCGGGCAGTCTCTAGCTAGGCATATCATGGAACATACTGGAGATAAGTTCACGTGTTCAACGTGCGATGCTTCATTTAGAAGCAAACTAGGATTGGACAACCATGTTTTACAAAAACATCCGGAGTTTACCGCGTCCGTTTCTCATAAAATACGCGAATGTACCCATTGCGAATATAAGACTATATACATGAGGAATTTAACTATGCATATGACGAAACATACTGGAGATACATTCCCGTCGTGAAGACTCGCAGAGTGGCGGTGAAGCCGAAAATGTCGACGATGAAGTGAGCTAGTACACTGCGCAGCAAATAAATTTCAGGTTCTGCTCATGTGTCAACTCTTGCTGCAGTCATCATCAGTGTAAAAAATCTAATTTTGACAGTTCGTATTGGGTTTTCAGAGTATAAATAATGTTGGAACAGGCATTATTTCGAGATTTCTGAAGTGATCTTTACAAGAATACGAGGGATGTCTTTTAAGTGTTGCATATAGAAACATAGTAGGCCGCGCGGATCGAACGTCAGTACTGAATCTTAACCTCACTCTTTAGTAAACTTAAATTCAAAGTTTCACAACAATACGTGCAGTGTTCTCACTACAGTGAATTTTTAAGTGTCACCAAGTCATTAGAAAAATGGAACTCCACCGAGAACATTTTCGCGCCATAATTTATTACAACTTTCAGAGACAATTATCGCAACAAGAATGCCTTGCTGAGTTACTGTCTGTTTTCGGCAACGAAGCGCCACATCAGTCGACAATTTCCCGTTGGTATGGAGAATTCAAACTTGGACGGGTGAGTCTTAGCGACGATCCCAGGGTGGGTGCACCAGAAACGGCAGTCACCCAGGAAAACGTCGATGATGTGCGCAAACTCGGAATACTTCGAAAAACAATAAAGTCATTTAAAACTACCTACCGTGTTGTTTTATTTCCATATGCTAAACTTAAAAGACATCCTTCGTATAGATCATGGTTCGTATGGCTTTCTTCTGAAATTAGTTTTGACAACGCATGCGCGTTGGAGAGCTTCACAATCGGGTGTCAAACCGTTGGAAATGTGATGCTAGAACATTCCTAATATTATAGATTGGCAGTTGTAAATTTAACTGCCGTCATTCGTTAACTGCATAGGCCAACCATGATCTATTAACGTCAATAGTTGTTCTCCCTATACCGGATGTTTCAAATATTCGACTCTCACGATTGGGATTTCGGAAACGGCTTGAGATACGAAGTGGCTAAGAAAATGGTAAAAGTTATAAAAATAATAAAAAAGTTATGCAATTTATTATGAGATAATAATTAAATATCCGACGAATGTCATATTTAAATTCTGTTCATGCCGAAATTGCCAATGGTGAAAGTCAAACTTGAAACATCCGGTATAGTGGGTAAATGCCTTTATCCTTGTTAATCATTTAAAATACATTTTGTGTGGTACAGATTCCGATACTGTGCTTTATGAATAAAGATTCGTGCTATCTGCCATGTGTGTTTCATTTCATTCAAACCATTACCTTTTACTTCTTCTCAAATTGGCGGGGATGGAATTGACAGCTTTATGGGCTTTGAAAATCGATTGACGGCGGAGCTATCGGCGAAATAAAAATGTTGCTAAGACCTCATAACAAAGTATTAACCGGTACATTTCTAATTAACACCGGAGAGAAACCATATTTTTGGATTGTAATTTCCTGTACATTTAATTTGATGAATTTTCGCTAGTAATTTTGTGTAATACGGGTGAATTGATGTTGAAGTACGAAATTGCTACTATACCCTATTCGTAGTTCAATTACGCCCCGGCACAACATAGATGCAAAGCGGCAGCCGCCTAAGCGTTGCAATTGCTATTGGTCGTTCAGCCATAAAACTAGGAACAAGTGCAGGATTCGACAGGATTGAACTCAGGCTCGCGGTATCGCCGGCAGTTGCTGTTCATTTCGGTGCATAAATAGCAGCGCGTGAGTGTATACGTTAGCATGTCGTCTACGGTTACAGCAGATGAAAGTGAGCATATCTCTCCCAATGCTTCCTCTTCAGTGATGTCTCATCCCGAAAATAAATTGTCCTTAACGTTTATAAGAGCGAAATTTTAGAGCATCCTGAGATGAAAATTCATGATATTGAAAGACGTGTTGTGTATGTCCTAAGACAATTTTAAACATTGTTAAAGAATATAAAACAAAAAATTATCTCCACCACACAAGAGGCTGCATTACGCGAAGCTGTTGGATACACTTGTTAACTTCGATTGGAATAAACTGAGTGACGGCAAACCATTGGAAAGATTGAATCCGTCACGTTTAAGAGACAATCGAAATAAGGATGTGGGATCGATATTCAAATTGAATCTGTAATAATTAATATCAATCATTCGGACGATGATTCAAGTACTTCCAGCGAATAAAGAATTGTGAAAAGTATGTGCATTTCTTTCTATAAAAATTTTGTTAGATTATTCCAAGACCATTGAGGAAAATACGGACCTGTACTGCGATTCGTTTCGTATCGAGAAAAGAGAATCTAAGGTCACTACGTTTTTAAATGGTTCTAGCGACATCTGTGCGTAACTTTAGAAAATACGAAATGAATATTGAAATCTGTATGACAAGTGGTTACTTCTCTTTTCCCCCAACAGATATCACTAATGACTTAACCCTTGAATGAGCATCCCATCCCAAATGGTGTTTGTTATGTGGTTGAGTTTGATTATCCATCACAACTCCTGGTTTCTTAGATTTGAGGTCTTTGTATAAAGAATCTTTGAGGCAATTCTTTTATTCCTTGTCGCTTCGCTTTTTTTATTCACTTGTAAGTACTTTCGGGGTTAGGCAATCAATTCAGTATTTACTATGGAGGCAAAAACTGATGATAAGCCTTGCATGAAATCGGAAGACACTAATCCTGACTATGTAGCAGATCACGATAGGTATGATTTGGAGTCATTTGTAATTCCATCTATCTCCTCATAGGTCTGAAAGGTCTGGTAATTCTCTAGCTTGGGTACACCAGCCGTTTTTGAAGAAAAAATGATTTCAGACAATAGTTTTTGGGTGTAGATGAAATAAACGGGACTGAAAATGAGCGCAAACATGAAAGTTCTGAAACATGTTACTATATAATAGGCTTTTATTGCAAGTTTTTCAAAGACTGTGCGATGTTGCCAGATTTCATTCATAGGTTTTCGTGTTAATGGATAATCTTAATAATTAAATTTGTATGTATGACGTCGAACTTCACACGACCCTACATAACGTCTACTGAACTAGCGCCGCGACTCATAGGAGAACAAATTCTACACTAAAAGGACAGCTTCTGCGCGAAGAAATGCGTATTTTCGTTATTTTTCTTATGTTCCTTCAATATGGCAACGTCGCGGCTTGTAACCCATGTGCAGGTATTTTTAATCTCATCTCGATCATTTACAACCCAAACCTAGTGCCTATTCGGACGGAGAAACAAAAAAAAGGCTGGTGTAGATACGCTAGAGAATTACCGCTCAACATGCATCTGAATTCATGGAATTTGTGTAATATATTGGCAACTCGGCAAATTGCCGCGTCAGCGATGCTAGGCAACGCGGTGATGTCCTTCGTTATCTAGGCGGCTTCTATCTCTTTCCAACATATGTGTCTACACACACTTCTCTCTATTACACATTGAACTCAAGCTGTCTGCCAAATTTGATTTTTAGTATATGCATACATTCCTAAAGTAACGTTAATTTGATGGTAACCCTTTTTCTAACTCCAAATTTCAGTTACTGGCATATCCTTAAGGAATTCAAAAAACATATTTTGTACCTACTTGATTTTACTATGAATATTTCTTTAGTTGCAACATCAAAATGGAGAAAACTGGTATCATCAAACAGGAAAACGACTTTGAAAGAACAGTGCATCATTGTAGTGTGGAGAAAAATGAACACTGGGATGGTGTTAACCAGGTGAAAATGGAGAACCAGTTAGTGGTTGAGGTTAAATCTGAAAAACCAGTTACAGAACCAACCATGGACAACCTGAAGTTTGAAAACATGGACAGTTTGGTGGTGAATGAACAGATTGAAATCAAATCTGAATATAATGAAGATCCCTTATGTAATTTAAAATGGGATAGGTGGGTCATATTTGTTCTGAAGATACCATAGAAACAAATCATTCGTCTATACGGTAGCTTTAGAAAAGGTTATATGAGGTATACCACAGGGCAGTGTGTTAGGTCCCATATTATTTGTCATATATATCAACGATCTAAAAGATATCATTAAGAACTATGACTTTACAATACTTAATTAATTATGCTGATGATAAGAGCATACTCGTTAGTGGCAAAAATACCACTGGATTAGAACATAATGGTCAGCAAGTGTTTGAATCAGTGAGAAAATTGTTTTCAATAGCTTGAGCATAGCTTGAGATAGCTTGCAATAGAAGAGCATAGCTTGAGATATATTGAGCATAGCTCGAGCAAGGCTTGATATAACTCGAAATAGCTTGAGCTTATCTTGAGTATAGATCGAGCATGGTTTGACGTAGCTTGAAATAGCTTGTGTATCGCTTGAACTTAGCTTGAGTATAGCTCTAGCGTGGTTTGAGATAGCTCGAGTATAGCTTGAGAAAGCTCAAAATGAGCATAGGTTGAGTATAGCTTGAGAAAGATTGATATAGCTTCAGCTTAGCTTGAGCATAGCTTTAGTTAGCTTGAGCTTAGCTTTAGTATAGCACGAGCATGGCTTGAGATAGCTCGAAATAACTTGAGTGTCGCTTGAGCGTAGCTTGAGTATAGCTCTAGCATGGTTTCTGATAGCTCCAGCATGACTTGAGATAGCTAGAGCATAGCTTGAGTTTAGCTCTAGCATGGTTTGTGATAGCTCCAGCATAGTTTGAGTAAGATTGACATAGCTTCAGCTTAGCTTGAGTATAGCACGAGCATGGCTTGAGATAACTCGAAATAGCTTGAATGTCGCTTAGATTGAGTATAGCTGTAACATGGTTTGAGATAGCTCCAGCATGGCTTGAGATAGCTAGATCATAGCTTGAGCTCTAGCATGGTTTGAGATAGCTCCAGCATGGCATGAGATATCTCTAAATAGCTAGAGCATAGGTTGAGCATAGCTTGAGTAAGATTGATACAGCTTCAACTTAGCTTGAGTATAGCTCGAGCATAGTTTGAGATAGCTCGAGCATGGCTTGAGATAGATTGACATAACTTGAGTATAGCTCGATCATGGCTCGTTATAACTCGAATTAGCGCTAGAGCATAGCATGAGCATAACTTGAGATAGATTGACATAGCTTCAACTTAGCTTGAGTTAGCTTGTGTATAGCTCGAGCATGGCTTGAGATGGCTCGAACTAGCTAGAGCATAGCTTGTGATAGCTTGACTATAGGTTGAGCTTAGCTTGAGCATATCTGGACGTGGCTCGTGATATCTCGAAATAGATAGAGCATAGCTTGAGTATCACTTTGGTTGAGCATGGCTTAAAATAGCTCGAACTAGCTAGACCATAGCTTGAGCAAAGGATGAGCATAGCTTGAGATATCTTGAGCATAGCTTGTGACAGGTTGAGTATAGTTTCAGCACAGTTAGCTTGCGCATAGTTTACCTAATCCCTCAGCCACAAGGCAATAATGCTTTTTAAAAAAACGCACCAATAACAGTAATCTTTATGTGCAAATATAAATCCTTGCTCTAAATCATATACTTCAAATCTGTCTTGAAAGTCCTCGATTGTATATGGTTCTACATTTAGTGATATTCCAAATATTCTTTTAAATGCACTTAGTCGTACCATTTTTTTCATAACTGCTTGTTTTTTAAAGAGGTCCTTTTCAAATATCGCTAATCTATGCTTAGGATAAATATAATTAATAAAAATGGTAAGAATGAACGTCATCATCCCATTCAAAAAAGTAAGTGGGAAGGGGAGCCCTGTAAATTGACCGCCCTGTATCAAAACGCACTTTTTGTTACCATTTTAGAATTAAAGAAGGACATACTGTTGACCAGTTGGAAATGGAGTTCCAAGAATCTGAAAAGCTGGAAGATTTAAGAAGCGCAAATTTTGAAAATATGGATGCAGTTGGGCTGCACGAAGAGTTTGAAATCAAAACTGAGAGTGATCAAAGTGATGGACATGATTCAGCATCGAATAGGTAAGCTTCCTTTAATCCACAAACTCTGCTACAGTGTATTCCAGAACATGTGAACTTTCAATATAATACAAAAGATAAGTAAAAATGTCCTCATTTGACTATCCATGGAAACCATGTACTCATTTATTTGCCATTAGGCCAATATGATTTAGTGTAAATTTTTTGTGCAATATTGCGTTCGTCAGCTGTCAAAATTTTGTCGAATTCTACAGTGTTGTACAAATGTTATATCCCCATAGACATTCTTTATAGTTCTATATACGCAACCCAGAAATTGACATGTTATTTTTTGACAGCCTGTAAACATGGATGACTTGTCGTTGTACTA